CTGCTAGTGTGTTACGTGAGCTGAGAGTGGCAGCCTGAGGAAAGGGGGTGTAGGGAAAAGTCCACAACCCAAGGTGGGGGTGCAGGGGAGGGGGGCGGTTGACTAAACACACACACACACACACACACACCCGCACACACACACACACACACACACACACACACACACCCGCACACCCGCACACGGGATTGTGCTTGCCTGAAGGCAGAACCAGCCAGTCTAGGGCAGGTAAGTCCTGCGGAGTTTAGAGCCCAGGCACCTCTGGAGATTGGGGGCTTGTGGAGTTTGTTGCAGAGAGGCTGCAACAACAACAAAATCCCAAACTTGCTTAGAGGCTTAGGGGAAAAGCTAGAACTTAGCTAGCTGGGTGGTGACTCCAGCAGAGCCCCATGTGCATCTCCCACCTGTGCTGGTGGCTGCAAAGCCACAGGCAAGCGGCTTTTTCGTGAATTTATGAAAGTGTAAGGATGGAAAAATTTAGCCTAACTCTCCCTAGACTCTGCCCCCTAGCAGTGAGTAGGCAAAAGGTCATTCTTGACTGTTTATGACAGGGCGGTTTACAACAGCACCTGTGAAAAAATGAACACAGGAAATGAGCCTTGTCACACTACCTAGAAGCCCTAGCAAAAGCAGACTCCCTGGGTTAAGTGCGGGCTTGGATAGTTCAAATTGATTGGTCCGCACTGGATGAGATGATTGGTTTATGATGCTCCAGCTTTGTTGTAACTCTATAAACCCTATACCCAGGGTTCCCAGTCCTCTACCCCACGTGGAGTATGGCTGTGGACCCCAGTGCACTGGAATATGAAAGGCCTCATGCTTTTGCATCAAGACTGCTTCTCGTGAGTGATTGGGGGGGGGGGGTGTGCCTTTCCTGAGTCAGGATGTGAGGGTTCACGCCCTCTGCGGGTCTTTCAAAAGGTGGGTGCCAATGTGTAGCACAAGTTCTAATAAGTCTTAATAATAAAATCCCGTAGTCAGATATAGGGGAAGATGCTAAGAAATCAGAGAGACAAAGGAGCAAACCACAGCCACCTTACTTACTCAACTTCTCATCCAAAAAGACGGAGCTCTTGTCTCCTCCCGCCTTATCACTTCCTCTCTCCCCACACAGCCATATCACTTCCTGTCTGTCTGTACAGACCTCCTGACCTCTATGGTTAACTAGAGACTAGTTAATATCGAAGACCACCCTTGGATCTTCAGGCAAGCTTTATTTGTTAGAGTATAAACAAGATATCACCACACCCTGGCACAAGACTCCCTTCTGCTGTTCTCTTACAAGACAGACTTAGACTTGACACCTGCTCTCCAATCCTGCTACTACAAGCCAGTTCTCCTTTTCCATATTTTGTTATACATATGCATGTAAAATGTTTATAGTTAAATAAAACGTAACACCCTTCCAAGATGGCCTTTTTAATTACCATCATTCCATTCAGGTCCATCCAAGTTGTAGATTCAATAGTCCATCCCTCTTCTGCTTTGCTGTCAATTAACCCAGGGCCCCAAGTGACATAGCATCAAGCTACATCTTAGTTCCAACCTAGTATCACTTCCTTTTTATCCTTTACTTGCTCTTTGACAATTTGATGCATGTATACACTGATTTATCTATCCCAAACTCTCCTGTCACTTCTTGCCACTCCCCCAACATGTTTCCCTACCACCTTCATTGTCCTTGATTTTCTTAAAACCCCAGAGTCCAGTTAGTGCTACCTGGTGAGGTGTCTCCTGGTTATGCTGGCTTGACCTTGTGCAGGGTAGCCATAACTACAATCATGTCAAGAAGCCAGTACCTCACAGGATCCTCTCCATTCTCCAGCTCTCACATTCCTTCCATCTCCTCTTGCTCAATGTTCCCAGAGCTTGTGGGGCTTGAGGTGTCCCATTTAGGACTGAACACTCAGAAATCCCTTCTCAGCACTTTGGCTACTTGTGACTCTGAATCAACTTTTGCTGGGTAAATCTGCGATGTTCCATAGACATCACCATCCTTCTCATGCCCTTTTTGTGACATCTGTGGGATTTGACTATGGACCCCTTCCTGTTGATTTTTCTCTCTAAAGGGATTTTATTTGATTATGTGTTTGGAGAGGGGCACATGCCATGGCATCCCTGTGAAAGTCAGAGGACTGCTTTGTGTGTGTTGTGGGGGTTGACCTCAGGTTGTGGGACTAGGGATGAGCACCTTTTCCGGCTAAACCACCTTACTGGCCCACTTTAAAAAAAAAAAAATGAAATCATCTTTCACTATCATTAAGATCGGAAGAGTAGTTAAAAACAACTCTCACAGGCTAGCCTGGTCTACAGAGCGAGTTCCAGGATGGGCTGCAAAGCTACACAGAGAAACCCTGTCTTGAAAACAATAAATAAATAAATAAATAACTCACAGCTGCGTTGGTTTTTGAAGTATGCAGAGATCAAATGCTCTCCATGCCAGCTCTCCTGTCAATGATTCTCTTCCCTCAGCCTGATTTTTTCTTCCTGCCCAATTGCATTTCTCTTCTCAGCATTTTTGTCCAGGCTCTAGCTGGCTGGTTTTGAAATGCATAGATTGGTCATGCTGCTCCCATGGGTGTCTAGAACTCTGGGTGGTCCATCTTAACCTGCTTAAAATATTGAGCTTTTGCACAATGCCTTGTCACTGAGCTTAATTACTGATGCCCAATGAGGGTTTGCTGTTGTTGTTGTTGTCCTCCTTTGGATTTGGATATTTTTGGTTCTATCCTAGAAGTTGCATGTTTTTAATGAAATGCAATTTGATGTTAAAAAAAAAAGGATCACTGTTTTTACATAATTGCAATGGATACTTTTCTTGTTGCTGGGATAAAATACCTGTTGAAAGCAACTTAAGGAAAGGAAGAGTTATTTTATGGTTTACATTTCAAGGAATTACATTCCATCATGGTGGGTAAGGTAGAGTAGGAGGCTGGCTGGTTGCATCCACAGTCATGAAATAGAGAGTGAGCAAGAAATGAGGCCCCCATTAAGTGACCCACTTCCTCTAGTAAGGCCCAGTAGTCCTAAAGCCTCCCCCCACCCACAGCAGGTGGGGCCCAATGATTCAAAGGGGGGAGGAGGGGCAGTTCACTTTCAAGCCACAACAGCTGTATGTTAGTCTGAATTTTCTAAAGGATTTTTTTTTTTTTTTTTTTTTTTTTTTTTAGATTTATTAGAGTGGTCTGGGTAGTCCAATGTCTGTCTCCTGACAGAATGGCCAAGAATCCTATAGCTGTTCATTCCAAAAGATTGAATGTCTCAGCTATCAGAGTCTGGTACTGGAGTTCCAGGGGATTCCTAGAGAGCTGCTGTCTTCATTCTACATTAGTACCCTGAAGAAGGAGGTTCTAACACCAACGATACATGAACTTTCCAGACAGAGTGAGGGCAAGCAGATAAAAAGCAAAAGCCTCCTTCTTCCATGTCCTCCTATGTGGGATACTACCAGGAGGTGTGGCCCAGATTTAAGGTGGGTCTTCACCGTTCAAATGAGTCAATCAAGAAAATCCCTCACAGGTGTGCCAGGCTGCTCAGATTTTGGCTGATTGTAGATGTAGTCAAGTTGACAACCAAGATTAGCCATCACTCTAGTGACTTGCAAAAATTATTTCTTCCTATAAAAGTTATTTTCTTTCTACGAATTCCTTTTCTTCTCTTTAAAAAAAATTTTTTTCCTTCCTTCCAGAAGATGTTCTTTTATTCTCATACTGACAACTGAGTTTGTTTTCAAACATGTTTCTTTTGTATACATATAAGGCTATAAATATCCTTCTAACCATTACTTAAATGATACATGGTAATTTTTATAACAAAGGCTATTATTGACATTTTTGAAAATTTATGTGATTTACATTATGATTGTTTTCTTCAAAGAACCATTCAGAAGCCAACTTTGATTTATTTTTGCTTTAAGATTATAGCCACTCTAGGGGTTTTTCCCACCTATGTTAATATGGACTTCTAATTTTATTTTGCTAACATTGGAAGGAATAGTATGTATTATAATAATTGAGGTTCATTAAGATTTTCTTTATAAATGTGATCAGTTTGGGTAAATGATTAGTGAAAGCGAAAGAAAGTATATATTTTTATAGAGGTTAATTTTAGGACTATTTATATATTATTTTATTGGACTAATGCTATATATTCCACCCAAAGACACAGAGTTAGACTCCTAGTGCTCTTTTTCCTCTCTCTCTCCCCCTCTCTCTCATTCTCTCTCTCTGTGTATGTCTCTGTGTGTGTGCATGTCTCTCTCTGTCTCTGTGTGTGTATGACTCTCTGTATGTCTATGTGTGTGTGTCTCTGTGTGTATGTCTGTGTGTGTCTCTGTGTGTATGTCTCTCTCTGTGTGTATATCTCTGTGTGTGTGTGCACGTATATATCTCTGTGTGTATGTGTGTGTGTGTGTGTGTGTGTGTGTGTGTGTGTGTTTGGAAGTAGGGAAAAGGTAAAAAGGTAACCCACGAAGTCATGATGGTTGATAGCTGGTGATCTGTCAGTGGTCAGACCTCAGAACTAAAGTAACTTGTTTTTAATCTCCACAATTTATCAGAATATCATTCTCCTTTAAATGCTTAATAGACAATTTTAACTTCATTATTGCATGATATGTATCTGTGTATGTATTTATGTGTATGTGTAGTCTTCATGTGTATTTATGTGTGTGTGGTATGTATGGTGTGTGTAGTCTGTATGTGTGTGTTTGTGTGTGATGTGTGTGTAGTCTATGTGTGTGTTCATGTGTGTGTGGTATGTGCATGTGTACTCTGTGTATGTGTTTATGTGTGTGGTGCATGCTTTTATGTGTGCATGGTGTGTGTGTAGTCTGTGTGTATTTGTGTGTATGTGGTGTGTGTATGTGTGGTATCTGTGTATATGCATGTATGTGTGTTTTAGTATTTCTGGAGGGAAGAAGAGGAAGTAGGATCCCATGAACACCTAGATGAACAGTATTTGTTTTGTTTTGTTAAATGAGCTTTCATCTCATTTTTTAGATTGCATTAGAATATGAAGGAACATCTTTTTCATCATGGCAAATACCAACTACTTGTAAAGCTGAAAATACAAGGTAAGTTTTTTTTTGTTGTTGTTGTTGTTGGCCATATATATATATATATGTCTTCCCTCAGTGTAAAAATGTCAATCACATAATGTAGATGTTCAAATTCAAAGCTCTGACTTCATGTAAATTTCTTTTCATGAGATACATGTGGGGGAAAAAAGGGCTAGTTTGCTTTGAAAATAGAAGTGTGCTATTGTGAATGAGAATGCCCACTTCCCTCCAATGAGCTCATAGATTTGCATGCTTAGTCCCCAGTTGAACTGTTTGGAAGGATTAGGAGGTATGTTTTGGAGTAAGTATGTCCTTGCTGGAGGAGGTGTGTTACTTGGGGTAGGCTTTCAAGTTTCAAAAGCTCACAGCTGGCCCAGTGTCTGTGGATCAGGATATAAAGCTCTCAGCCCCCACTCCAGCTCCATGCCTGTCTGGTCCCCACCATGATGATAATAGACTAACCCTCTGAAACTAAGCAAGCACCAAATCAAATGCCTTCTTATATAAGAGCTGCTTCATCATGGTGTCTCTTAACAGCAATAGAACAGCAACTAAGACAGTTGCTATATTAAAGTTTTGTTTTTGTTTTTTGTTTTCTCATTCTAGCATACAATTAACTTGTTTAAGATTAAAAGTTGTGGGTGGATTTTTAATCAGCCTCATTAATACATTTGTAATGACTTCCTCTTTTCTGTTATTTTTGAACACTAGTTTAACCAAGACAAAAGTACATTGTGCTTCTGCTGGCGTTCATACTATAAAACCAAATGTCAAAGACAAAGTAAGTTGATTTTAGTGATGTTTCGTTGAATCTTGAAAAATAATCAGTTACATTATCATATGGCCTTTTCAACACAAATTGTCTTAAATAGTTTTAGTCCTAACTACAAATGAGGGCTATTTTAAAATTACTGTCAGTCTGCCATTATTTTTCATATCTGAGTATAAATTGTGAAATGATAATCTAATTTTTACTTGAGTTTCCATTTTTATTTGTTCATTAATTCATTCATGATGCTGGGGATTGAACCCGAGGCCTTGTACATGCAGGGCAAGTACTGCACCATTCAGCTAACATCTCAGCCCTACTATTTAGCCATTTCATCAGGTAGTATGCTCGTGTCTTGAGTGTTCATGGTACTCTCAGAGGACTAGGTCTCATGTCACATGTTTCAATGGCAATATCCAGGACCAAAAGCAAACTGAAGATTTGTCTTTCATTCCACTTCTTTTCCTTCAATTCAAGAAAACATGAATGCAAATAAATGATCAAAGAGACAATGAAGCTGCAGGGCTGTGAAAGAGACAGACAGTTCTAACAACCAAGAGCATTTCCACACATTGCCGAGCATACTTAGTCCCCTGGGCAGTTGGGAATTGCTGATCCAGCAGATGAATGGAAGTGTGTTCCCACAAGGGAGGAAAATAGAACAGACACAGTAAGGATAGCAAGTTGTCAGATGGCTCCAAAATTTGCCATTCATTCTAGTAAATAGAGAAGCTGAGGAGCTGAACACCTTCTGTATGTAAGTCATTAATTCTAGTCTAAAATCTATTTTCCTCTATTAGGTCAGTGACAATTCCTCTGTGATGTTCAGGCTTATATTCATATTTGTATCTATTTCAAATTTAACATATATATTTTTTCTTCATTTGTTTTTAGAACAAGGAAGAGGAACGCTATTTATCTGTGGATAATTCTCATATTTGCTTCTTGTGGTATTATAAAGTTGTGTAAGTAATGTACAAAACAAAGGTGATTAAGGCTTTTATTTAGCTCCCACTTTAAAAAAAAATCAATCACAGATTCATTATTCATATCATGATTAGCATACAAACCTTTATTCACCAACCAAAATGTTCTCAAATATATTTCCAAAGTAGTATTGAATTAGAAGTTATTAAAAGCCAGCAGTGGTGGCGCACACATTTAATCCTAGTACTTGGAAGGCAGAGGTAGGTAGATCTCTATGTGTTCGAAGCTAGCCTGGTCCAGGACAGGCTCCAAAGCCACAGAGAAATCCTGTCTCGGAAAAAAAAAAAAGTTATAAAAATATCAGCAACTACAATTTGAATACTTACTGCATCTACATATCTGTCTATCTGTTTTCATATAAGTCTCTCTGTATACTTCTGACTGGCCTGTGTGGTGATGTATTATTTATGATTTATTGACGCTTGCCTGAGGGATCAGAAAACAAAGCTAGCCACAAGCCATAGAGATCAGGCAGTGGTGGCACACAACTTTAATCCCAGGACTCAGGAGACAGGCAAACAGATCTCTCTGAGTTCAAGGCCACCCTGGCCTACACTAGAGTGAAGAGAAACAGAGCTCACACCTTTGATCCCAGAACTAAGGAGGTGGAGACAGGAGGACATGGCTGGGTGGAGAGAGGAGTAAAAGGAAGAATCTAAAGGTCAAATGTGGAGATTTAGTTTCCAGATGGGGAAGCATTACAGTCTGAGGATCCATGGAGGCAGGATCGCCATTTTGGCCTGAGGTAGAGGTAAGAGCTAGTGGAATCCAAGTGAACATGACTGACATCCCCTGGCCAGTTCCAGACCTTGCATACCTCACTGACAGTAGCAGCTTCATTCAGGAAGGAACCAGGTATGCAAGGGCAGCACTAGCAACACCCTCAGAGAACACCTGGGCCACAGCCTTGCGTTCTGGAACCTCAGCACAAAAGGATGAACCGATTGCCCTAACCGAGGCCCTACAGTTATGAAAAGATAAAACTCAATGTTTATATGGACAGCCATGGCACATGTTTACAGGGACATCTACAGAGAAAGAGGCTTGCTAACTGCTAAACAAAGGGCTATTAAAAGTAAACAAGAGATCCTAGACTCATTGTCTCCCCTTTGATTCCCCAAAAGACTGGCCATCATCCATTGCCCAGGACATCAAAAATGAAACTCTTATGAATCCCAGGGCAATAGAAAAGCAGATCAGGCAGCCAAGAAGGCTTCCCTGGCCAGTACTAACTTACTGATAACAATACCAGGCCCTGTGTTGCCTGAAACACCCAAGATAATAAAGGCTTTGCCTCTTTATCTAACACCCAGGTTAAAAATGGGTGAGGTTTTGCTTCGGATGGAAGGCTCATTCGGCCAACTGAACTGGCCAGGTCCTTGATCTGCCAAGTCCACAGGGGAATGCATTTAGGCCAAAGAAAATGAAAAGAACTCCTGGAGCGCTAGAAATTCATTCTTTTTTCAACACAAATCAATTGGTGGAGGACTGTGTGACTCAGTGCCTCTCTGGCCAGGCTACTGACCCACAAAAGAAAGAACCCTCTCAAAGCAATGGGGAAGGAGGAACTTCCCCTGGAGTCCACCAGGAGGTGGACTTCACTGAGGTAAGACCTGGCAAATATGACTACCTCATAGTCATTTTAAACACAGTATCCACAGTAGTCAAGAAGACCATCCATGAACTCATCCTTCTGTAATAGGATTAGACAATGGACCAACTTTCATCTCTGAGATGTTAAAATGCTGGGGACTAATTAGAAATTACATTGTGCAGACTACCCCCCAGAGTTCAAGACAGATAGAAAGGATGAATCAGGCCCTAAAGGAGACTTTAACTAAATTCACGTTAGACACTGGTGATGAGTGGACAGCCCTCCTGCTCTGCCCTATTCCAGGTACGGAACACTCCCTACTACTGTGAGTTAATGCCCTATGAAGTCATGTTTGGTAGACCACTTCCCTAGGTACTGAGGCTCCCTTCAGAAGTCACGGCTAAGATGTCTGAATATAAGTTTCTTAGTACATGCACTCCAGACAGTCCAAGACAATGTTGTGCTACTCCTGAGACATGTTTATGAGTTGCCACCTGTCAAGCCACATAACCATAAACCAGGTGATCTTGTTCGGGTCTGGAAAAATCATAAAAAGAAGCCCTTGGACCACACTGGAAGAGGCCACACAGAGTGATCCTGGCTACCCTGACTGCTTTTAAGGTGGATGGAATCATGAAGAGGATTCACCACTCACATCTCAATCCCACTCCTGATGGAAGATCAGATGACCCAGACATGAGATGGAAGGCCTTTTTGTACCCTGAGGACCTGCTAAATATAAGACTAAAAGCTCTCAAGTTATCACAACTTTTCTGATTTACTTATATCTAGTTCCTGGGATCTCTGAGAACCTCCCAATACCCTGCCCTGTTACCTTTATTTGGAGACTCACAGACTTCTGGACAGGTGGTTAATATCTGAGGTGTTCCAAACAAATTTTGAGGCAGCCCCAATTCTTTTTTGTTTTTGTTTTGTTTTGTTTTGTTTTGTTTTGTTTTGGTTGAGACAGGGTTTCCCTGTGTAGCTTTGGAGCCTGTCCTGGAACTAGCTCTTGTAGACCAGGCTGGCCTCGAACTCACTGAGATCTGCCTGCCTCTGCCTCCAGAATGCTGGGAATGAACGGATGCACCACCTGGTGGCAGTCCCATTCTTTAAGACTAACTTGTGTTATCTAATGTCAGACCTAATGTTTAATTGGATACCTGGGAGACCTGCTCATAGGAGAACCTTCCAATTCAGTTCTCAGCCTAAAAATGTATGTGATTCTCTAGCCCTTACTAAACATCTTTCAGGAGAATTTCAAGGGTAACACTACTATTTTTGCCTGTCTGCCCCTACCCCAGTCTGTTCTAATAAAAATGAATTCTGGTGTCCATCCTGGGGATGTGAAACTTGGGCCCCTTCTTGGAATGTTGACAAGGACCCTTTATAACAATATCAACTTTAAACCCATGTTCTCTAACCCTCTTATAATTCAAGTTAAGAGATGGGATGCTGCACAGCCACAAGTTCTAGCTCCTGGGACTCAGGAAGATCTTGGGAATTTAGGTTATGGGAATCTGGTAATAAGGGTGGAGTGGCATTTACTATATAGCAATCACAGGTTAGGACTCCTGTCCTCCCCATAAGACCTTTACATGACCTCCTTCAGCCTTTCCTGGTCCACACTCAGGTCCTCACAACTTATCCCCAAGCTACCCAGATAATTCAAAATGTCACTTCACCAGGGACCAAAATGGACCCCCTCTTTGAAATGGCCCTAGCTACCTACTCCCTCCTCAATTCTACCAATACCAATCTCATTAATGATGGCTGATTGTGTCTAGACCCTAGACCACCACATGGCCATCCATAACACTCAGGATTGTGTCCCTAACCAACAGAACACCTTGTCCCTGGGAGGCACAAGAACCTCTCACCCTAGGAGACATACGAGGGGATGCAATTTGCATTGGTTCATACAACTATCCCTTAGACAAAACTGCCTATTTGTCAACATGTAATATATATATATATATATATATATATATATATACATACATATATATTCACAAGGTCTTCTAATATTCTTAACTTAGACAACTCCCATCAGTTGGTCACCCCCGGATTTATATCAACTAGCCTTTTCACCATGCGAAACCAACCTGAACTCAATGTCTTAGAATAAATTGTCCCACAAATACATTATTGTGATGTCCCAGCTGGCAGGGAACATTTGGATTCCTCCTTGGGGCTACAATATAAAAGAGGAGCCCATCTTTATCCCCATAATGGTGAGAATAGGCATTGTGGATTCTGCTGCCTTGAGAACAGCAGCACTGATTACTATACTAGCCACAATACAATAGTATCTTGGAGGCTGTGGAAAAAGACCTATTCCACCTCCACGCAGCAACAGGAAGACTCATTAGCAGAAATGGTCCTACAAAACAGAAGGGGACTAGACTTACTACTCCTAAAACAAGGAGGGCTATATGCTGCCTTGGGTGAATCCTATTGTTTCTGTGCTAGCACTCAGGCATCATCAGAAACAGTCTTCAAGAGCTCCAAGTGAGTCTCCTCAAAAGACAAAAAGAAGACAACCACTTTCCTGGTTCCATAAGCTCTTTAATTGGTTCCCTTGGCTAACAACCCTATTGTCCTCTATTGCCCAACTGGTGCTTATCCTTTTGATACTATTAATGATTGGTCCATGTGTGATCAATGAACTGATTAGATTTGTAAAATACCACTCTTCTTCAGTGGAACTCTTGATTGTCTGCTCTCAATATGCAACAGTTGAAGACTCAGGCTCATAATTAGATTCAGAAGAATGAAGGGTTTGATTCTGACATAAATTCAAGGGGTGGGGAGAAGAACCCAGGAACATGAAATACTATATGTGTATAGCCTGTACACATAACCTAGGAGACCAGGAGCTGGCAGCTGCTGTGACAAAGGTTAATCTTTAACAGATGTCTCTGTGTGACCCTCTGCCCAATATTTCTTTCAGCTATGGGAGGAAAGCAGCTGTGTCAAGATAGCCACAGGCTTTTGGAAATGTCTTGAACATGCTGTAATCAAAAGTTGTGAATCTCAGAATGTAATGTGACTCAAGGCCTAAACTCAAGACTGTATAAATTCCTTTGACCCACCAGCTAGCATATGGCTTTTTACCATAAGAAGAGGCTTGTAGCCTCTCCTCGGTGTCACAGTGCCAGAAGCCCAAATTCTGCCTGTGACCCTAGCTAGCTACAAGTTTTTGGAACCCAGTGGTGTTTGGAATAAAGCTTGCTTCTGGTTAATAGACTTCAGTGGTCTGGTCCCCATTATTTGAGCAACTCTGGAACACAACAGCAACTACAGATGAGGCCATAAACACTCAGAGCAGAGGTTCTCAGCCTTTCTAATGCTGTGACCCTTTAATACTGTTCCTCATGCTATGGGGACACCCCCCAAATATAATATTATTTTGTTGCCACATCTTAACTGTAATTTTGCTACTGTTCTGGATTGTAATGTAATATCTGATATGTGACCCCAAAGGGGTTGGGACCCACAAATTGAGAACCACTGTTCTAGAGCATGCCTTATAATACTTTGCCACCTAGAATGCAGCCCACTGATCAGAAACTAGGGAGTTATTCCAAGTGAAAATACCCAGTGGTGGTGGCGAACACCTTTAATCCCAGCACTCAGGAGGCAGAGGCAAGCAGATCTCTATGAATTCAAGGCCAGCCTGGTCTATAGAGCAAGTTTCAGGACAGCTAAAACTAACAGGGAGATCCAATCTAAAAAAAAAAAAAAAAAAAAAAAAAAAAAAAAAGTAAAATAAAATAATTGAAGAAAGTTAGGCCACCTTGTTCATTCTACACCTGTTATATGATCATTTTTTTAAAAAACAAGATCCTGTATTATTTGTAGATATGCTATAATTGGGGAGTACTGGTCTAATGAATTCAAATATCAATTTCTCTAAAGCATGTATCTCAAATACAATTGCCTCAAAAGGAGAGCTTGGGATACGGCTTGTTGGTAAATAATGTCTAAATTATCTTTGAAAAGGCCTTCCAACCATGTACACAGCCCCAGTACACAAAAGGCTCCTGCCTTACCCTTTCACCAGATGGTGATGTGGGAAGCACTTACTATGCTCTTGATATTTAAAACTGCCCTGTGGAGTAGATGTGAAATTATGTCACTGTATCACTTATTGTCAGTTTACTGGTTACTCATGACATGGAACGTATCTTATGCTTGTGGAAAATTCTCTCCTTTTGTTAGTATATTGCTTCATTTTTGAGTCATATTTCTTTTTCTTAGTAGTTTATAAGATTTTATTTTTAGTTCATTATTACTCTCATGTGTTTTCAATATTTTATGTATCAGGTTTTGTAACATTGTTACTTCTGCTCCCTATTAACAGAGGTCCTTACTATTGCAAATCAATTTTTTCTCTTTTTATTCTTCTCTCATACAATACATCTCAACTGCGGCCTCCCCTCTCTCCGCTGCTCCCAGTTCACCCCCTCAACACACCTCCCATCTCTCCCAGATCCAGTGCTCCTCTGTTCCCCTTCAAAAGAGAGCAGGCCTCTCAGGGACATCAACCGAACAGGGCATACCAAGATACAGTAAGAGTAGACACAAATCCTCATGACAAGGCTGGAGAAGGCAATCCAGTAGAAGGAAAAGGGTCCCAAGGCAGACAAAAGAGTCAGAGACACCCAAACTCCCACTGTTAACAGTCGCACAAAACACCCAACCCAAACAACCACAGCATATATGCAGAGGACTAGCGTAACCCTTGCAGGCTCCGTGATTGCTGTTCCGTCTCTGTGAGCCCCTTGAACCCTATTTAGTTGATTCTGTGGGCTGTGTTCTCCTGGTGTCTTCAACCCTTCTGGCTCCTACAATCCTTTTTTCTTCTTCTGAGAGGTTCCCCAGCAAAACATTTTTTTAAAATTCTTTCCTTAGGAGTTTTTGCCTACTAAAATTTACCATTTAAGAAAATTTTCCTTACCTGCAAGATTATAGTCTTTTACATTGAGCTTTACATAGTTTTTTTTTTTTTTTTTTTTTATTTCTATAAAGTTCTTAACCCACCTGGAATTAGTTTTTGTTCAAGCTTCAAGGTAGAGATTCAGTTCTCTTGTTTTCAGCGTGAGTAATTAATTTTGTACCCATTTACTAAATAATGCATATACAGTGTCTGCTTTTTCACAATTCTGTTTTCCACATATGCCTGGCCTCCTGGGCTGGCTATTCTGTTTAGCTGATCTATTTGCCTGCTTTTGTTTATTACCATGCTTTTGTTTACTTATTTAACTATTTTCAAATTATGTTTTAATTAGCTTACAAGGTATTAGGTATATTTATGGCATTTTCTTTTTTATATTATGCGTATGGATGTTTTATGTGCATGTATGTCTGTGCACTAGACGTGTGCAGTATCTGAGGAGGTCAGAAGAGAACATTGGATCACCTGAGACTAGAGTTACAAACAGTTGTGAGTCACCTTGGAGGTGTTGAGAATTGAACCTGGGTCCTCTCCTGGTCTTCTTCCTAGATTTTTAGGTGAGCGCAGGCATGTGTGCGCGTGCACACACACACACACACACACACACACACACACTACAAGCTAAAATCTGCATATAAGGGACAATGTGAAGCATTTGGCTTTCTGAGTTCACATCTTTATTTTGAAAATCTGGTAAGTATGACTATAAGTTCCCATTCTTCTCTGGCCCCAACTATCATCCTTTGGGGGGCGGGACTTCTGTTTTATTGTGTTTGGTTTTGTTTCTTTGTTTTTTCAGTGCTAGGGACCAAACTTAAGGCCTTTCTTTTAGAGTCTGCCATTGAGCTATACCCTCCAGCCCTGGGTTTTTAGAGACAAGGTAGTAGAGAGTGGCTTTGAACTCTCAATTCTCCCATGTTGTGGAATATTAGTTTAAGATGTGTCACATTTATTTATGCTATGGAATGTTTGTTTAAAGACACAAATATGTGTTACTTTCTTTTATGTTACATTGGTCTTAATAAAGAGTTGAACGACCAATAGCTAGGCAGGAGAAATGATAGACATGGCATGTAGAAAGAATAAATAGAAGAAATCTAGGCTTGAGGAAGAGAGAGGAGTGAGAAAAGGAGGAGGAGAAGACTACAGGAGCCAGGCACCCAGCCACACTGCCAGGCTAACCTCAAACTCAGAGAGATCTATCTGCTTCTGCCCCCCCCCCAAGGGCTAGGATATGCACCAAGCTCTAAAACTGCAAGTTCTTAGTAGGTCTTGCTGTTGTATCAAATACAATTTCAGAATTTTTTAAAGAGTTAATTTCTTTTAGAGCAGTTTGAAATTCATAGTAAAGACTGAGAGAAGCATAGGAAGACATCCCTATTGAGTTATTTGCTGTTATGTTTGCACACCTCATTATCAATATGGCTCCACAGAGTGCATATTTATTTTACTTTTATTGTTTTGGTTTTTCAAGACAGACTTTATCTGTGTATACCCAGCTGTCTTGGAACTCACTCTGTTGACCAGGCTAGCCTTGAACTCACACAGGTCTATCTGCCTCTGCCTCCCAAGTGCTGGGATTAAAAGCATGCACCACCTCCTCCCGGCCTTGACATATTTATTTTAACTAATAAGCCTATATAAGTGCTTTAACACCAAAAATCTAAAGCTTGCATTGTCAGTAGTCAGTAGCTCCTGATATTGTATTTTCTTGTTTGTTTGTTTGTTTGTTTTTCAAGACAGGGTTTCTCTGTAGCTTTGGAGCCTGTCCTGGAACTTGATCTGTAGACCAGGCTGACCTGGAACTCACAGAGATCTGCCTGTCTCTGCCTACTGAGTTCTTGGATTAAAATTGTGCACCCGGCGGTATTGTATTTTCTATGAGTACAGACAAATGTATAATGGTGGGTCTCTCATCCTGATAACACACATATTCTCACTATCCTAAAATACCTGCATTCCATATGTTCAGTCTTCTCTCCTACCTGGTCCCTAGAAATCATACATTGTTTCTTTTGTTATCTCTTCCTATAGTTTTTCATTTTCTAAAATGACATATAGTCAGAATTATATAGTATGGAGCCTTTCAGACTAGCTTTTTTATTCAATAATATGTATTTAAGACCCAAGCACCTGTGATAACAAATGAGTAATAGATCCCTTGGTAAATAAGAAGAAATACCTAGGCTTTGTTTCATTTTTGTTTTATATTTAGCATAGAATTCTTTATGTAACTAAATATAAAAAGAATAGCTAAAGGTTTAGAAACATTCATATTACTCTTTCCACCATCTTGGCACCTGTGGAAGATTGCTGGGAACAGAACTTCTAAAAGGTAAATGTGTCTGGAAGGCTGTGGTACAAAGCCATTTTTGCTGGCTATAAGTGAGGTCTCTTCTTAAAACTGAAGGTGTTTATGGCCAAGATGAAACTGACTTCTACTTGGACAAGAGATGTGCTCATGTATACAAAGCAAAAAAGCGAAACAAAATAAAAACAAACAAACAAAAAGCCAGTGACTCCTGGAGGCAAAGCAAACAAAGCCAGGGTGATCTGGGGAAAGGATACTCAGTGTAGAAACACTGACACGGTTCATACCAAATTCTGAAGCCACCTTCCTACAAAGGCCATTAGACATAGAGTCCATATGATGTACCCTTCCCAGTTTCAAACTAATGAAACGTAAATAAATAAAAGTGGATTTGTTAAAAAAAAAAAAAAAAAAAACAGAAACAAAGAAAGAAACATGTAAATTGAAAATATAGCATTATAGCTAATGCTTACATGGTGTTTATTAAAATGTATTTCTTTTTCTCTCAACAGAGACATTTTGGATAATTTAACCCAGGTAACTTTTGTCAACTTTGTATATCCACCCTGTCATTACTGCATGTTTTCCCTTTATCATTTATGTTTCCAGATGAGGGATTTCCCAAAGTACTTTTGCCATAAATTTTCCATAGAGTAGTTGTATTCAAAGTATGTTTTGAAGACCCCTTATTTTGACATGAGGCTTAGTCAGGGAAGTCCAACCATATATTTACAGTATTCTTCCATTAAACAGCAGAAACAGTGATGATTATGCAAGTGTCTTCTGTTAAAATGCTAAAGAAAATTTGAAACTATTAGCAGACATTTTTTTGGTTTTTCTTACTTGGTAAAATATGCATGCATTATGGCTTTATAAATTAGTGTCATTTGGATATTCTCAGTTTTATTACATGGTACATTTGATAAGTCTAATCCACATAATACAGAAGCCTTACAGAAGCCAGGCATGGTCTGTAATCTGAGCAATCAGGAGGATAGTGCAAGAGAGTCAGGAATTTGAGGACAGGCTGAGCTTGTTTCAAACACACACACACACACACACAAACATACACACGAAATTATTTTTTTAAAGACTGGAGATTTAGCTTCTTTGGTATGGCACTTTCCTGGCTTGTTCCACATAAATTGGGTGTGGTCTTTGCCTATGTTAGCACTTCAGGGACAGAGGTCCAGAGTTCAAGGTTATCTTCAGCTATATGGTGGGCTCAATCAACTGATAATCTCAAGTTATCAAGGATATAGAACAAACAGCTTTGGGCTACCCAGCAAGAGTCTGTCTAAAACACTATACCAAAAAACAAAGGAGACATAATTACAGTTAGGCAAAATATATAATGCATGGACTCTCTGATAATGCTTTTTAAATCTAGATTTTTCTAGCAATATGTAGTAACTGAGCTGATCACAAAAGTAGAGCATTTGGCACCAAATTCTACTAAAGAGAGTGGGAAGAAACTTTACAAATATTTTGAAAGGTGTCAACAACAGATGGTCTCTGAGTCTTTGCTCACCTTTAAAGAGCAAATGGTGCTAATGATGTCCCAACAGATTATCACTATCTGATCTCCAGCATCTCTTAATCTATGTGCTGGGCACACAGCCACAAGCAGGACAAGTCCCTACCCTCATTATTGTGTCATTACAGCTTGTTTAAAAACATTATCCAAAGCTGCTTATTCAATTTATGAATCCAGTATAATTCTAAAACCTAAAACTTGACATAGTTCCAAGACTCATTGACATCTTTTTTAAATATGCAAAAAGATAGACTAAAATGGCAACAGGAAGTATCAATGGCAGTACTGTACAAGTTCAATCCCCAGAACTCACTTAAACATGGAACTCCACAAAATTGTCCTCTGACCTCCACCAACCACATACACACGCATGCATGCGTAATAATAAATAACATTTAAATGCATGTTTAGAAGACATAAAACAATCATATCCTATTATATATTGGTATTATACATGCCAAGAATCTGTCAGCATCACCTAGAATAGCATCAAAACAAAGGATATAAGCCATCACCACAGTACTTAGGAACTTATCACTAAGATTTTCCAAAAAGAAAGATGCCACCCTATATTTAAGAGACTTAAGAACTATTTCAGAAGCAAAGAAGAGAAGCCCACAACACAGCACAGCACAACACAACACAACAGCAAAGAAGCTAAGAGAAGCTCTCAAAGGCCAGGTGCAGCTAAAATAATCACTAGGACGCAGCAAATATTTAAATGCCACAAATAAATTTAATATAATAAGTATTGCTAATACTATAGTTAGTATCTCATACTGTATACCCATCTCAAACATACAGAGGATTTGGCAGGCTAACTCAATAAATGCCAAAGGACTGAGATGATGGGCCATGCATTCTGTAACAACTGGGCAATTAACTTAGGAATTAATAATAGAACTGCTTAGAAAATCTCCAGGTTCAATTTTTTTTGTTTTGTTTTATTTTGTTTTCCTCTCTCACTAGGCAACCCAAGCTGGTTTTGAACTTGCAATCTCCCTGACTCTACTTCTAGATTGCTGAGATTATGGGCATATACCATTGTACCCAGCCTCCACTTTAGGGAAATCTTCTAATGTGTGGGTGTTTTGCCATAATAGGACTCCTGACTCCCTGGAACTGGAGTTGCAGATGGTTGTAAGCCACCATGTGAGTGCTGGGAATTGAACCCAGCTCCTTTGAACAAGCTGCCAGTGTACTTAACCCCTAAGCCATCTCTCCAGCCTGAAAAAAATTACAAAGTATTTTGAACTAAATAATGACACTCTCCAGTCAGATACAGAAAGACAAAGACAATTATCCCCATCTTAACAATAACCCAGAAGGAAATGTACAAGGGAAATGAACTGTGGCCCTTAAAGATAGGGAGAGACCCTCACATTTCCTCACAAGACAGAGTCAAATGACACCAAAATTCCATTTTTCATCTACCTGAGCAGTCCTGTCCAAGCAGCTAGAAGGAAAGAGCTCTCAAATATTGCTGTGGGGGAGGTCTACCAAGGAAACTGCTGTGCAGTAGTTGGGAAAATTACAATATGGAGTCGGCAAGAAGGCATAGTGTGTGGGGCTAGGAGTACTGTCATACAACTTGGTGACTTGGGTTCAATCCCTAGAAACCCAGTGTCCTCGTTAGTCTACAGTCATCTGACAGGAAAGCACACACTGAGGAATTGCCTAGACCAGATTGGCCCATGGGCATGTTCATGAGGAACTGGACTGAGCATATATTTTTATTAAAAGGAGGGAGGATGGTATCTATTGGTTCTGTAGAAAAGTTTTCAGAACTTACAGAAATGGAGACAATAACTGATTCCCTGAGTGATGGGAAGGAGAGGCATTTTGTTGTTGTTCTATTCTCAGTATAGCTTGCTTTGGCAATGTAAATAAATTTTTCAAGGAAAAAAAATAAGGAAACAATGATATCTGTTTCTATTGAACTGTCCATGCATTTCAAGTACTAAAATAAGTTACAAATGATGGGCAGAGGATGATTTCATTTTCTGTGAAAGGTGTGGAAGTGTATAGGAAGGCTACCATGTTTGTTTATGGCATAAAGATGTGTGATCATTAATACAGAATATTATTGTTAGTTCCTTCAATGTATAGAAAGATAGTTTTTAACTCTTCATGGACATATGTATTATTCTAGTTATGAAAAACTACAAGCACTGCTTTTGATGTTTTAAAATAGAAAATAATGGCTTTTTCCATTTTTGTTTTTACATGCATGAATATTTTATCTACACATATGTCTGTGTACCACTTCCATGCCTGGTGCATGCAGAGGCAGAAGAGGGCATTGGACCCTTCAGAACTTCAGTTACAGATAGTTGTCAGTCACCATGTGAAGGCAGGGGATTAATGAGTTTACCAGACCCAAGATAAATGATAAATAGGTGTTTATTAGGGAAGCACTTACACAGATAAGAGTAAATAAGCTCCAGAAGATGCAGTCTCTGCTTTTCTGATGCTGTCCTCAACACAAGAGAGCATGCACCACCTTAAGGGGTCATGTCTGCACCTAAAACCATGCCTAAAGGGTGTGGCCACTAACTACAAGTTCACTGGCAAGGCAAGATGCCACTACAATTCCTCTTTTTGCCTAAAGAAGAAGGTTTTAAGCCTGATTCAAAAACTATATTCAATGGTGACAAATATCAAGTATATTCCAGGAAAAGGAAAGGTAAAAACATATGCAAATTAAGACCTACAACCAGCAAGAGCAACATTGAGCAATAAACACATTCTACATGTCCAATAGTTGTCCTAATCTGGAAAGTCTAAGTCTTGTACCTAGTATTTTCTAAGAGAGAATATTAGCTGTAACAGTCTATTCTTCAACCTCATCAAAGAGCTGAGAAGGAAAATACCATTACTTGGATAGGCAGGAAGTGCAAGCATGCAACTTCCTAAAGGTGAGAGCTAAAACAGAAACAGCAGGCTACCTGGACACTCACCCAAGGTTTCACAGTAACGCTGGGGCAACCAACTTTAACTAAGGCCTACAGTACCTTACAGACCATCTCAGAAGCAGGAAAATCTGAAAGACTGTCTTAACCTGACTTGGCAAGGTTTAGCAGTTTCTTTAGTTTATCTCTTGCTAGCCCAGTTAGGATAGCATGTCCAAAGTCAATGGTCAAGGTGGGGGCAGTTCTTTGCCCAAAAGGCCAGTAGCCAAGAAGAGAACAAACTCCAAATTGACTGTCATCAGGACCCGTCCTACTCTCAGGAGTAGCTCAGTGCTGTCAGGAGCAAGTGTCTCATGCCAACAGAGTTCTAAATTATTAAAACATTGAAATGCCATATTCTGTTGATCTTTGAAGTGTTTGAAGATCAAATATATATGTTGGATACATCTCTGAGCACATATAGAACCTAATTAATATCATGAGGTGTAAGAAACATGGGTAACTATAATCTGTAATTCTCAGAAACATAAAGGTTCACTGACTGAAGCTTCTCCAAATAATTTAAACAATCTTAAAACTGATGTGTAGCATAAGGACAATGACCTCAAATTTGTAACTATATACATATGTAAATCTCTAAAACAGAGGTAGAACTGAAATGTCTTGACCAGAGATAGAACTGTATAGTGCAACATGATAAAAAAAAATATCCTTCAACATGTAAAATAATAAAATTTTTAAAAATCTATTAAAAGTTAAAAAAATATCCTATAATGTATCAATATACAAAATATCTTGAGCATATGTAGAAGCATACATACATAGAATATGATATAGTTTTATATTTGTGTGCAAAACATCATGAACAGAAAGAAGAGCCTAAACAAAATGACAACTATAATATACAAATTATCCAAGACAGGAATACAAAGTTAATTTAGCTAAGTTTCAACATGCAAGGATTTGTAACAATGTAAGTTGTCTGTGGCTAATAGTTGCTAAAATAGTTCACAAGGAGATAAGTTAATCTACCTATATCCCATCCCATTAAAAGAAATTCCTGAGTCTGAACATCATCTTCCATTCCCAACCCTGCACAATTTAAAACCATCCCTAAGCAGGTGATAATTACCCATTTTCTAGAGGGAAAAAAAAAAAAAAAACAAAACAAAAATACCGTCTTAGCCAACTGTAGGTGCTGGGACTTGAAACCAAATCTCTCTGAAGAGCTAGTACTCTTAACCATTGAACCATTACTCCAGGCCCAATAATGAAAACTTTTGAAATAGTTAACATTTTGAGTAGTTTTGCCATGACAACAACAACAACAACAACAACAACAACAACAAAAAGAAATTTGTATAACTATAAGGAAATTAACATTTTAATGTATTTTTAATATTCTTTGATAATTTTATATATTCAAAGAAAGTTATTTTATTTATCCTCACCCTTATCCCTCCCCCTAAATACTCCAAGACCCCCCTCTACCCTCTACCCCTTCCAACTGTGTCCTCTTTTTTATTTATAACTCACTGAGCCTGATTTGTACCTCTCATATTTTCTTTTCTAGATTGTCACTTTATGGGTGTACGATCCAGAAAGTTCCAGCAAAGAAGAGTTGCAGTGGACTGCAACAAAACCTTCACTGGTAAGTACAAATATTGTCTTAGGTCAGATCACATGGGCTGTCTATCTTTTTGAGGACCAAGTGTAAGCTATAATCAACGGATAGGATTCTAAGCTCACTGAAGCCAGTTTAAAACTCCGTTGTGGTCCCCTTGTTCAGCCTGGTCATTACAGGTATCTTTAACTTGCACTTATCTCTACAACTGTTAACATCTACGTTGAACACTCTGTTAACATCTACATTGAACACTCTTCTCATCAAGGGGAAAAAGATGGGCCATTCCTGTGTCTTAAGGATGTCCTGTGAATATCTCCATTGAAGTCATGCCTTAGAAACATAGCTAAGGTATAACACAGCAAATGTGCCGGCCCTTCCTTGTATTTGTTATAAAATTACTGCTTTGGAGACTTAAGTTTTGTATTCTATTACAATCAAAACAAGCTGAGGAAATATTAGTATAGGCTATTACTCTCTCATGAGCCTGTTGCTATCTTAGAGAGTAAGAAACAGGGGAGGGAGTATGTTTGCATAAGATGTGTTTGGAGCAGGAACATGGTAGGGCATGTGTTGAGAGGACAAAAGACAGCTTTGTGCAACCAGTCCTTTCCTTACACCTTTATTTGGACTCTGGGGGTTGAACTCAGGTTGCCAGGCTTTTACCACAACTGGCGGAGCCCTCTCAGAAGCCCTCAGAGGTATATTTTGACTGGTCCCAGGTCATTGGTCATTAACTCTTTCTAATCTTGCCTAAAACCCATTCATTGGCCTACTCATATCAGTGGTAGACATTTTATTTGTTTGCTTAACTAACCTTCTATTTCACACTTATAGCTTCCTTATGTTTAACAATGTTTTCACATTTGTATTCTAATTGAGCACAGTATCCATATTAAAGTATAGAATAAATATTGTTGTTTCCTTATATTTAACAAATAAAATAAAAATATTAAAATATCCACCCATGTATCTGCCTTGTAATATAGGCATTTCATATGAAGCTTTTTGAAAGAGTTTGTAAAATACAAAGCTCACATATTCATACCTTTCATTAATTTGTTAATAAAGTTTTAATTTAAAATGGTTTTACATTTATACAATTATTGTAAAGATAGTTCCTCCTATTATCTTACACTTGTATATTTGTCACAGTTTATGAAATATTGCTACAGTGTTATTAACTGAAATCCATATTGGTCTTTCCTCAGTTTTCCCCAATATTCCCCTTTTCTGTTCCCAATTACCATCATTTCGTTGCCCACTTTCCCCTCAGATGGTCCTTTGCTGTAATAGTATCTAGAGGCTTTTTATGATCTCCACAATTTTGAAGATTCCTAGAAAGGATTCCTGGTCAGGTATTGTGGAGAATGTCAATAAGTTGCTATTTATCTGAGATTTTTCTCATAATGAGACTGGAGTTAGGCATCTCGAAGAGAAATACCACAAACTTCCAGAGTGGTTGCTATCATATCATTGAGGGTCTATCCTATCAGTGTGGCCTGGTAATGTGTGTGTGTGTGTGTGTGTGTGTGTGTGTGTGTGTGTGTGAGCATGCATGCATTGCTTGACACAGCACACATGTGGAGATCAGCAGGCAATCCTTCTGCCTCGTGTATTCCAGGGATTGAACTCAGGTCATCAGTTTTGGTGGTGAGTACCTTTATCCCCTCAACTATTTCTTGGGTTCACACTCTACTTTCTTAAAGCAAAAGTTTACATAATTTTTTTTATAATTTTTTTCTTTGTGAAAAGTGTATATGTTACTCTGACTCATTTATTTGCCTAATGCTTTGTTTATATGAGTACAGACTTACGTACTTATTCCATGGTCTTGGGTTATAACACAACACTGCTTATTCACTAGAACCCATTCATTAGATTATGTCCCTTTTGACATTTCTACCATTGGTTTGATTTGGTCTGATTTTGAAATTCCTCCCCTCCTTTTAGACTCTGGCACTCTAAGGTGCTCCAAGCCCATCTTGTAGACTGTATTAGGAGTCAAGATCTCGTTGTGAGGGTGTGCACTGATAATTTGGTGGTTGTGGTGGTTTGAATAAGAATGGCCCCCATTGGCTCAAACATTTGAATGCTCAGAAAGTGGCTCTACCTGAGTAGGATTAGGAGGTGTGGCCTTGTTGGGGTAGGTGTGACCTTGCTGGAAGAAATGTGTCACAGGAGGTGGGCTTTGAGGTTTCAAAAGCCCAAGCCAGGCCCAGTGGCTCTCTCTTCCTGCTGCCTATGAATCTGGATGTAGAACTCTCAGCTTCTTCTCCAGCACCATGTCTATCTACATCCTGCCATGCTCCCCACTGTGATGATAATGGACTAAGCTTCTGAAACTGTAAGCAAGCCTCACCTAAATGCTTTCTTTTGAGGAGAAAGGAGAGGGATCAAGGACACCACAGGAAGGCTCACATGGTCAACTAATCTGGGCTCAATAGGGATTTGCAGAGACTAAACAGTCAACCAGAGAGCCTGCATAGGACTCACCTAGGCACCTTGCATGTATGTTACAATTGTGTAGTTAGGTCTTCTTGTGGGACTCCTAACAGTAGGAACAGGGGCCATCTCTGAATCTTTTACTGGCTTTTTGGACCCTGTTCCTTCTACTGAGTTGCCTTGCCCAGCCTTAATACATGGGTAGGTGCTTAGTCTTACTGCAACTTGATATGCCATTGATATTCAGGGAGACCTTCCCTTTCCTGAATGGAGATGGAAGATGAGGGGATTGGGGGTGGGAGTTGGGTTGGAGGGAGGAACTGGGAGGAGAGGGTGTTGGGGAAGCTTGGCCAGGATATAAAATAAATAAATAGATGAATAAGAAAGAAAGAGTGTTAGCTTTCCTCTGATTTGTAGATTATGCATGGTGAATGTTCTTTTGTGACTTTTGTGATTTGTTCTTTCTTCACTTGGCACAAGATCTTCATGTATTTGTTTGTTTGTTTGTTTGTTTGTTTTATTTTTGTATAGGCTGAGATAGAGTCCATTGCACCACATGTCACATTTTGTTTGTCCTTCAATGACAGTTGACTCATTTCTACTTTGGGGCTATTGTGAACCATGCTGGTAATTCTGCTTCAGATTTTTTCAGAAACCTGCAGTGTTCCCCACCTTCATCAACAGTTTACAAAAGGCTCCAATTCTTCCTTATCCCTGGTGACACTTTCCAGGTTTTGTGGAGTCAGTGATGTTGTTTTGCTCTTTTAAATAGCCATCCCCACAATAGGGGAATCTTACCATGCTGTTTGCTTGTTTGATTTTTAGGCATGACCTCACTATACAGCTCTAGCTGGCCTCCAACTCAGGGATCCTTCAGCCTCTGCCTCTGGAGTGCTGGGATTAAAGGTGTGTGCTCCACATTCCCAGCATCATTGTGGTTTTGGTTTGCATTTCTATAATGGCTGGTGATATTGACCATCTCTTCATGCCCTGTTTACCATTTACATGATCATCTTTGGGAAAAAATGTCTTTCCAAATCTTTGTTCATTTGTGGTCATGTTCTTTTGGAACACTGAGCTTTCTATATATCCTGTATGTTAATATCATAGACCAGATGTGATTTCCAAATATTTTCTTTCATCTGTGGATTGTCTTTTTACCTTGTTTTTGTTTTTATTGTTTGGTTGGTTGGGGTTTTGTTGTTGTTTTGTTTTTTTGTTATTTGGGGTTCTGTTGTTGGTTTGGGGGGCTGTTTTGTTGTTTCGGTTTGAAATGGTTTGGTTTGGTTTTTCAAGATAGGGTTTATCTGTGTATCCCTGGCTGTCCTGGAACTCACTCTATAGACCAGGCTGGTCTTGAGCTCACAGAGATCCACCTGCCTCTGCATCCCGAGTGCTGGGATTATGGCCTGTGCCACCACACCCAGTTGGTCTTTTTACCTTGTAGACAGTGTCCTTTGGGGCACAAAAACTTTTAACTTCAGTGAAGGATGGTTTCCTTTCTATTGACAGCATCCATTTCTTTTATTTTCTTTTTCTAGTTAGTTAGATTTTTACATATCTGAGTACAGATACCCATGTAGGCCAGAAGACCATACTATGAGAAAAGGATTCAAGGTCAAATTCTGAAGACCTTCAGTAGAGCAGCAAAAAAGTGGGAGTATTGGCACCAATGAAATGCTTCAGATGGGATGATCATCTAGTGTATTGAATGCTGACAGATTTTTTTTTTTAATTCTGGGACCAGTAAGGTTGGTCAGCAGGTAAAGTTTCTTGCTACCAAGCCTGAATGACCTGAGTTCAATCCCTGGAACCCAGGTTGAGGAAGGACAGAACTGACTCCCTCAAATCACCCTGTGACCTCCACATGTGGGCCATGGCAATATGTACCTCTTACCCACAACAAAAACACAAATAAATATTAAAAACTTAGTTTTCAGGATCTCTGTAATCTTCATTCACATAGAATTCTGATAGCGCAAAAATGTTTTCAATGTGTTGGAACCTTTATTATGGCTTATATTAATTTATAGGCTGTATTAAGTATTGTATTGCTGAACTATACCCTTATTCTGTGACATTTATAATTCATAAAATTCTTATGGGGAGGAAGCTAGATGGTTAAAAGAAACAAAAATAAATCTTGAAAGTATGGTGAATGTATAAGAATAAACACTATCTTAACTAAAAGAAAAAAATTAACACATCATTAAATATAAGAAAGTACTTCCAAATATCTTGGGCTATGGAAGCAAGAAAAGAAAAACTTTATCTGTTTTTTTTTTTTTTTTTTTTTTTTCAGAATTCCAGAATACTAACCAAGTTGTTGAACACCCTGGGACAGCACCCTTACATTCATACAACAGTGAAGAGAAGAGTGTATGTCCCAGATGCCTTAAGTCAGGAAGGGTATTTAATTTTTAATTCATCTTTAATTTAAAATCATAATTTTTAAAAGAGATTTGAAAACATTAGTGGACTTTTATAAAATGTATCCGACATGTAATTTCCAAAAAAAGAGAAGAAGAAGAAAATTGTGTTAATTCCACCTGATGATCAATTCAGAAATACCAGTCAGATTCTTGGATGATAATGCACTGTTTGTTTAAAAACCTAACTCTCAATCTAAAAGCCTCTTTAGGGGTGACCATGTCCCTAAATGTAGCCATGAAAGTGGGCTACAGCAGTGTGATGGAAGTAACAGTCGCTGTCTACCCCCAGTGCTCATCAACACAGCCTTCCTCCACCACAGCCGTCCTCCAATCCACAAATTCTAACCAGAAAGTCAGCATCTGTTAACTAAGGAAGGTAGATCAACACAAGGTATAGACAGGCTTTTTTAACCCCCTGAGCACCCAGGCACAGGCAAAGCACTTGTAACTAAGGGTTATAGATACTGTCTTCAACAAAGAAACAGAGATGTCCTCATAGAGATGAACCTAGGCTGCTGTATAGCACAATGCCTGACTCAAGCCTGCAGGAGAGGGAGTAGGGAGTGCTTTCCTGAAAGTTAAGTGACCAGCCAAATCAGGGAGTCTTCATAGTGTAGGTGGAGGGTGATGTATATAAGAGCCTTTAAACTGGGACTTGAGAGAACAGACAAATTTCAAGAGATGCAGAAAACTGCAATGAATAGATAGTAAGAAGTGCCACTCAGATCTTCAAAGGAATAAGCCAGAACTCAGTTTGTCATGCTTTTATAACACTTGGGAGCTGGGAAGGTAGGAGAAGCCATTCATATAAAACCAAGCTGAAGACCTTTTTAGCAGAAGGAGTATGTGTTGTTCTTTTGATACAACTATGAAACACAAACAAGAGACTCAGCACCCACGTGGAGTTTATTGGTAGGGAGGAAAGGAAGGAACAAGAAGAGAAAGAAGGAGCAAGAGAGAGTGGGCCCTCTTGGCATACTTGCTTTAAAAAGGGAAACTTGCACATGCATAACTGAGTCCCCTGCGCAACTGAGTCCCCTGCGCAGCCAGGTAAGGTGTGAGCAGCCAGGTAATGTGATGATATGGCCATGAGTGTCCAGCCCATAATCAGGGAGTGGGTTCAGCAGTCTGCTGGGTTCCAACAGTTATAGTTATAATAACATGTTCCTTTCCTGTGTCTGTTTGTTGGTTTTTGCTTTATTTTGTTTTTCAAGACAGGGTTTCTTTGTGTAGCCTTGGCTGTCCTAGAACTCACTATGTAGACCAGGCAGAGCCCTCTAACTCACAGAGATCCACCAGCCTCTGCCTCCCAAGTGCTGGGATTTAAAGGTATGCACCACCACTGCCTAGCCCTTTCCTATTTTTAACAAGCTTTGTTGAACAATAACTTACATGCCATAAAATCCACTGTTTTAAACTGTGGTTCACACTGATTCACAGTGTAGGGTACATTCACAATTGTCCACCCAGTGCCACTATTATACAAACACGACACATGGTTTACTCTAAAGTTGATAAGAAGCTGCTGTGTATAATGCTCCTGGGAGCATCTGGGAGCAGATTTTCAGTTGTTTCTCTATGATAAATATAAAGGAGTGGGATTTCTGAGTCATATGGTGTTTTCCACATTTGATTTTTGAAGAATGGCTAAACTACATAGTTCTAAAGTCACCGCACCATTCATATCTTCCTCGGCAGTACATAAAGTTTCCTACATCCATCACATAATGTCTGTTATTGGCTGCTTTATATGCTAATGGCCACAGAAGGATTCATTGACACACTTAATAAGTGTGGTATAGTTAACTAAAGAGGTAAGGAGGAAAAGATGTGCCTTCATCTGCCACACAAGAAAGCAGTAAGTGATGTGCAAAACTGTATGTTAAGAAAGAGGGAGATGGGGTGGTTTATTTGGAGTTAGAAAGACACACTGCAGAAGAAAGAACAGCAAGTCAAGATTATTTTCCTCTTTCAGAGTGAAGAATAAAAAATGGAGCCATAGCAGCCTGTGTTGATAAAAGCTTAGAATTTTTAAAATGCATAAACTATGCAAGATGAATTATAAGGAGAGATCATCTTTCTTCTTTCTTTTCTTCTCTTTTTTATTTTTCTCACCTTAGAACCTGGGACATTCATTTGCCAATGTCCTCGGATGATTTAATGAAAGAGATTAGAGGAAACAAAGTGGCTTTCCAAGACTGCTTCATTTCAAATCTCATGATCCTGATGACACCTCCTATGACCACCATACCCGAGACCAGAGGAGACTTACCACTCACTCTGCCAGCTGGCAGTCCTTTGCTGTCTACCTGGAGTTCCTGCATCCCTACATTTACTGTCCTGGTCACTGACCATGAAACCTTCCAATCAAATGATTCTTTCCATACCTGGACCAGAATAAGAGTCCCCCCAGGTATCCTGAGTGATGCTGAAAGGCACAGTGTGACTGATGTGGCCTTATTCAATAGTGGAATTATGTTTCTAATAAATGGTGCTATTTACCTAAAAACTGCAAAAACATTTAAAAAACTGGACTCAAGTAAAGGTCTTCCTAAAACCAAAATTATTGGCATTACAAGAAGAAGATGGTGTCAGGTCAGATATTTATTTAAGGTTAGTAACAAATGATACATGTGAGTATGTGTGTTATCAACATACTTTTAGATATATTGCTATAATGTTTGTTCAGTAACATACCAGGAGCTCTACTAAGCAGAATTTTGCATGGTTATTGTTTCTCCAAGACAAGTACTAAACCCACTTACCTTCTAAGATCATACAAGATTCAGCATGTTCAAACTCATATGGGTCTATAGACAGTTATTTTATTTAAAGATGTGAACAGCTGTGTTTCTCAGATTCAGTAAAGATGCATACCCAACAGTAAAGAAAAAAAAAAAATCAGTCTTGTATGCTATCATGCAGAGCAATGCAGTCATACTGTGGGAACAAAAAATTCCCTGAATATGTTCCCCCAAGACCCTGTACTATCAAAGGTTAATCAAATTACCACAATATCTGGATAATAGATATCAAAGCATTCTCACTACAAAACATAAATATTGCACAAAAATGTAAATGTTCTTTTAACTACATTGTTGAGCTCCTAAAGAAATATGGTATAGCAAAATCAAGTACATGAGTTAAATGTTAAAATGTATGAAATAACCAAGCTGACCAGGAAGGATATAGGTTTGAATGGTATATGACTATAGTTCCAGTTGCCTTGAATCCTGGAGAGTAGAGGTGGGATATTCCTGGTAGCAAAGATGGGGTGGGGCTTTGTTACAACACTTTCTACTTAGGTCCTGAATACTCTAATACCCACCTCATAAACACTTGTAAAACACCTTATAAATCCACAACACAGAACCCAGCAAGCTGCTCTCCACCTTGGGGCAGCCCACTCCACTCTCTCTTTGGGGTTCTCTGTTTAACTTTACCAACTACACTGATGCTTTAGGAATGAGCCTCCACTTAACCTATATCTTGACTGAATTCATTCTTTCAAGAAGACAGGAATCAAGAGACATACCACCACTTCTATCCCTACCTCTAACCCCCAACCTTCCCAAAACCATCGCTACAATAAGAGAAATTCCAGAAGGGAAAAAAAAAAAAAAAAACTATTCTAACAGACTGGCTCAGAGGAAGATGCAAATTCCAATGTTAAGCTATCCTAAGGGCTGACCTCCAACAGTCAGAGTTCAGATGCCAGGAGTCACAACATTGTAGGACCTTATGACTGTGTCTTTGTGGTTATACCCAAATCCTTTGCATGGTCTCATATTTTATTTCTAAATAATCAATAAATCTCATAACACACTGTCAATATTACACTTTAAGTAGCGTGGTGTCATGGACACAAATAGATACAGGTGTAAAATGATAAAAATCAAAACAAAGATTTTTACTGTTGTTTTCTTGTTTCATGGGATATTTGGGCTTGTTTGTTTGTTTGTTTGTTTGTTATTGAGACAAGGTCTCACTATGTAGCCCAGACTGGCCTCAAACTCAAAATCTGCCTCCCTCAATCTTAACTTCTGGGATTACAGGTATATACCACCATGCTGGGCAAAAGTGATAAATAAGTAAGCAAGGATAGGCTGGTGTATTTAAAAGTGTGAAGAAAAATATTATTTATTCTTTCTACTGCTAGAAATATAAGAAAAAAATTAATGGAATTATTTATTTTCTTGATATATAATATGACATTTTTTATAATGGACTTCAGTGCCTAAAGTGTTATTTTCTAAAATATGACCAAAAACCCTCGGTACTTATTTCCTTTCCATTTTATTATTTTTGGTGCTGGGGATGGAACCTAGGGTCTTGGCATCCATCCGTGCTGCCTAGAGCCGCCCTCCCAGCCTCTACTCTTCACTGTCAAGTATAGGAAAAAGTAGAAGATAGAAATGGCTAGACCACTCTCTATCACTGAAGATTTTTCTATTTGTTTTTTTCCTTTTCTAGTCTAAAAAAAGAAAAAGCATGTTGGCAATATGGACAAAAAGTGAATTTTACCTTGGATATTCTGCGTTTAGATTTTTGAAAGTAATAGATAGTTCAATGCTCAGAGTGGCTCTAAAGCTTGGCCCGACAGTCACCGTGGCGATAGAAAGTGTTGAATACACATGGCACCCTCTGGAACTTGCCCTGATAGTGTACTACTGCTCTTCCTGCACCACCACTAAAAGAGTTCGCATGCTGCTGTATAACGAAGATTCAGGAAACTGGGCATTCCAGGACTTCCAACTAGAGTTGCCCATAGACAGAAACTTAGTCTCACATTTTCTTTACTCAGCATTGCCGGATTTAATCCTATGGGATGCCCACATGGTTTACTATTATTACAAAAACTTCACTGTTACTGGAATTATAAGAACAGACACCGGAGAGTCAAATCTGTCAAAGTTATCACATGGCAGCAAAATCCACAACGTCGTCATAGGTGAGGAATTCTCAACCCTGCTAAAAGTATTCTGGGTTCTGTTACATTGGTGGTGGAGAGATTATAAATGTTCCGCTATGTGGTGCTTTTGATGGCTACTGGTATATATTTAGCATCTAAAGCTTAATAGATTTTAAATTTGACCAGTGAGTGTTGAACCATGATCCTATTTGGCAGAATGACAGACTCAAAACGTTCTTTTCACTCGGTTGGCAGATCCTAAGGAAGTAGTGTATATATTTGTCAGAGTAAGAGGTGTTGTACTGATTTTGTTTTCTTTTGTCTTTCAAGACAGCCTTGGCTGTCCTGGAACTCACTTTATAGACCAGGCTGGCCTCGAACTCTCAGAGATCTGCCTGCCTCTGGAAGTGTTATACTGTTTAATGTTCCTAAGCTTCACACAACTAAGTACCTTGAGGTGTAGCTCCACGCCACAATCCTTCAAGCTAGCTAGGAGCCAGAAATCAAGGCACCAGTAGAACCTGTTTCTTTGCAACTTTGCAACCTGGCACTGGGAGATGGGGTGGTGTTTGCCTTTGATTCCTGGGGAGGGGGTGGTGTCGGTTGTTTTTGTTCTTTGGGTTTTTTGGTTTTGTTTTGTTGTTGTTTTGCCTTTACTTGTCTCTCTCACACACACATCAATCCAGTCTCTCCTCCTGTTAACATACTGTGTTCTTCACGTATGTCTGTTTTCATGTGGCTACCTTTTTAAAAAATATAATCTGGATAAGGAGTCCTTAAGGAGCTGACTCCTTATCCAAGTTATATCTTTTAAAAAGGTGTTCAGATCCCCAGGACTAAGTACAATAGCACAGTATTTATAATCTCAGCACACCCATAGGAAATGAGAGGCTGGGAGCAAAGACTCTTGGCCAGCAGCCTAGTTTACAACTGGTGTAGAGACTCTGCCTCAGACAAGGTATAAAGGAAACTTCTGACAGGTGAAGGTTGTCTTCTGACTTTTCTTACACACACACACACACATACACACACATACCATAATCAGCCATAGTGGATTAGGGGCTAACTACATCTGACTATATTTTTAAAAATCACATTCTGAAGTGCTTGGTCCTGGGAATTAAAACTTCAACTTCTTTTTTGGATGTATATGATTCAACCAATAAATCAATGTAGGTTTGTGTATTTTATTTTGTTTTTCCTCCAGAACTGAGAATGTAACTCAAGGCCTTGAGCTTGCCAGAAAAGTGCTCTACCACTGACTGAGCTAAATCCCCAAACCCCAATGTAGGTTTATATAGATCTATATGCTACTCCACAAACAAGCCATTCAAGATATTGAAGCCTCATCCTCCAATCATATGGGTAAATGGATTTACATGTCAAAATTCGCAATCACTCTTTCTTGACACCATGTTAGCCTTTACCTCACAGCATTTCAATTTTCTTCCCTCATGTATTTCAAGAAAGTGTTGTCTAGCATCACCCTCTTTCCTCCTCTCTTCACTCTCTGCTTTGGATCCTTGCTTAGCAGACTTTCAACTTGTCAGCCCTGTTAACTCAGAGGTCAGTGTTCAGTCACCTTGAATGATCTGCCAGTAGCATTTGAAACAATTTAGCATAATCGTTAAGCCTTTCCTTAAAATGCCTTTTTCACTTGGTTTCTAAGGAACCTCTTCTCCCACCCCTAACCTCAACCCTCTTTCTCCTGCATCACCAGCTTCTGCCCCTCAGCCGGTTTTTGTTGTTGTTGTTAATCCTCAATATCATAACTTCAGAATAGCCAAACATCCCCGATGGTGTTTTATTGACTTCTGAGCTCTGTTGATCCTTGCATTTGCCCTTCAACCAGGATCCACAGCCTGATCTCACTGTTCCTATTTCCAGCCGCTTTCCTGGCACATTTATGTGGATGAGCAGCAGATATTCCAAAATCTCACATGTCCATGATATTTATATTGAAAGGTGCCTAAGGAGATTTGTAAAATGTCTGTCTGTGAGAGCATTTCCAGAGAGGACAGACTAAGGGGGGAAGGGGGAGGGGAGGGAGCCTGCCCTGAATGCCATTACACAATCCCATAGGCTGGAGTCCTGAAAGAAAGAACAGAGGTAAGAGAAGAAAGCCAGCCAGTGCAGGCATTTCTCTGCTGCCTGTCTGCCTGCCATGAGCAGTCTTCCCTTGCATACACTCTTGCTGGCATGATGTTGAGCATCTACTCAGTCCCAAAGTAAGAAGAGTCAGCTCAATAGAAACTCAACCCTCAACCAGTAAGCCAAAAACAAATCATTCCTAAACTGTTTCTTTCAATAATAAGAATGTGACTGACCAAACCAAAGTAAACAAAAATGGTACCGGATGGATACAGTCATTGCTGTAGACAGACTTGACAGTAAGTAGTTCTCAAGCCTCCAAGACTAATTTGTAGGAATTATTTGGAAGAATTTGAACACACAGGATAAAGAAGCCCTAGAATGTTACATGCAAGGCTTAAGATTTATTTTTATTTTGTTTTAATTATGTATATGTGTGAGTGTGTCTGGTGGAATTATGAGCTCATGAGTGCAGGTGCCAGAGATGATCCTCTGGAGCTGGAATTACAGGCAACTGTGAGTTTCTTATGCCATGCATGCTGGGAACAGAATTTAGGTCTTCTGGAACAGCAGGACACTCTCAACTGCTGAGCCATCTGTCTTTCCAGCTCTGTACACCAAGCTCAGTGGGCCAGTTCTGGTGAGGGCTCAATAGACCAGACTATCATTAGAAATGTGCAACAAAGATGGGGCTAAAGACTCCTTGGGAATCTGGTGAGAAGACATCCATCATGTAGTCATCAACTTATTCTGCTTGTGTCCAGAGACTACCCATATCCAGAAACTGAGTTTTAGGGAAAAAAGTGAATTAATCTTGGGAAGGGAATGTCAAAGCAGCCTATGTCACAGGTTTTTCTAGCTGCTTTAATGAGGCTCATTGAGAACCAGGGGCAAAAATAATGGAAGCACTGGTTGTTGGAACAGAAAGGTCCATGGAAATTAGCAGCTGAGGAAGGCCTGCTTTCTGAAGAGACTGCCACCATTAACTAGAAGCCGTGTGTTTTGTCTTTGGGACAATAGGACAAGTTACCTTGGGAACCAGTTTTACCTCACCCAGTGCATACTCAAAGGTACCACAGAATAGAATCATTTGAGAGATGTTTCCTTTTGAAAAGAGAGCCTTCAGGGTTCCCTGCTGGCATAGAAGACCTCAGAAGTTGTTCCCCAAGATTCAGTTCACTATGCACTCAGTCACATAAGCACTCAGAGACCAGTGTGGCTGTGACTCAAGGGAGCCTGGCCACCCCTGAAATTGGCAACAGACCTTGGCTTCATCCACTTGATGCCAGTTTTTTAGGCATGCACACTGCAAGAGCTAATGGGGTCATGGGTGCTTCCATCCAAATTCCAAAAGAAAGCCTGTGAGGCCAGGCAGTGTGCCATCCTTGTCACCCCAACAGGCAGTCCCTGACAGTCCCTGAGGTGAAGCCTGGCCATCATTGGAGAAGCCAGGGGATGATGGGAGAGGTCTCTCTATATGCTGTAAATATGTTTCTCTTATTGGCTGATGAATGAAGTTGTCTCAACCAATGGACAGGCAGGATGTAGCCAGGGAGGAAGTATAGGCAAGGCTCCCAGACTAGGAGAACTCAGGGGAGAGGAAGGTGGAGAGAAGCCACCCGAGAGACACCATGTAGCTAGCTACCAGGAAGATAGGATACTGGGCATTCTCCAGTAAGCCAAGACCACGTGGAAATACTTAGATGAATAGGAATGGGTTAATAATTAAGAGATAGCTAGCCAAATAAGAAGCCTGAGCCATTGGCCAGTTTATAATCAATATAAGCCTCTGTGTATTTATTTGGGACTAAAGGGCTGCAGGACCTGGTGGGACAAAACCTCCATCTACAGGGTATTGCAGCTTTCAGAATGTAGAATATCTTTTCACTTGGTTGGCAGTCAAGGACAGGATCATAAAGGGAGTGACACTCCTAGAGAGTATGAAAAAAAACCTCTGCTTTCATACAGTGTCAGATAGTTACCAATGATAAAAGGAATGTGTGTGAATCTTATTTTATTACATATAGTTGCTTATACAAATAAAGCCTGTCTGAAGATCAGAGGGTGGAGCTTGCCACTAGCTAACCACAGAAGTCTGTACAGACAGACAGGAAGTGAGATGTCTGGGCACAGACAAGAAGTGAGTTGGCTGGGCAGACAGAGGAAATAAGCGGGAAGAAACAGGATCTCACTCTCTTTGATGCTGGGAAGCTAATGAAATAAAGGTGGCTTTGGCTTGCTCCTTCTCTCTGACCTCTCAGCATTTTCCTCTATATCTGACTCTGGTTTTTTATTATTTAAACCAATTAAGAACTCCATTTACATATAGTTCTTACACAGGATAATTAAGCCTAGTCTGTGCTTATTGGCCATTCTGTGCATTTTCTACTCATCCTATTAGATGTCCTATATGAGGTATATGTCAGTGAGGTTTATATTGACAGTATGAGATAGTCATATATCTCTGGTCTATCTCTCTGTCACTTAGCACCATTGCCAAATGTGTCCCCCACTCTCCCATCCTCTTGGTTTTCCACCTCTGCTAATCACCATTCTACCCTGCTCAAGTCAGTTTTAGAGGCTTATAACACATTTTGGAAAGCCCATCATCTAGACTTATTGGCTCATGACTCCCACCTGAACACTCACATTTCTCCTGTGCTTGCGGATATATGTTATTTGTCATCTTAATTTGGTTGAGACCCCTCCTCTCCCTTGTTGCAAAACATTGTTACTATTTGTTTTTGGTTTTGGTTTTTGTTTTGTTTTTGCTCTTTTCCCCTTTTGAAAAGAACTCAATTTTATTTATCAAAGTGTCTCCCTTTATTTAGTTCCTTCCTTTCAACCTTTTGTCATGAACAGTCCTTCACTCCCACTCCTGTATAACTTCCATGGCCTGCCTCTGCTTAAGTGACGTGATTAGCTAATTTATTCTTACCCTTCTTTGTCTTCACTGAACACTATAAATGAGGACCGAGTAAAGCACTTGCATTAGGACCTGAGTTCATAACTCCAGAACCCATCAGAAATAGAAGTACATATCTGTAATCTCAATGTCTGTATGGCAAGATAGAGGTAAAGACAGGAATAGCCAGTAACGAACAATAAAAGTTAAAATATCTCAAGCAAAGTAGAAGGTGAGAATGAACACCTACGGTTGTCCTAAAGCAGCCTCTTTTCCTGGTGGTTTTATTCATTGGGGAGGGGGGAATGTGTGCTTATGGAGGTCAGAGGACAACTTGCAGAAGCTGGTTCTCTCCTTCCATCATGTGGATTTTCAGGACCAAACTCAGGTCATCCGGCTTGGTGGTAGGAGCAGTAACCCACTAAGCCATTTCTCCAGCCCATGTACTGTTTTGTTAGGAGAGGTTTTTACTTGGATGCAGATTTTTACTACATGTATCCTATAATTGCTTAATCATTCACCAAAAAGATCTATGTGTCATTCCCCACCCCAATATTTCTTCCCTTCCACTTTTTGATCCACTGCATACATCTCTGATTATGAAATTTGATTAGTCTATTATTTATGGTAATTTTTGAATTAGTGGTTTACTCTGCTTGCAAATGTAAGATACATTGGGCATCATGCATCCCTGCATCCACACATCCACCTCCCTGCTTCTAACCAGTCTATGAGAGTTGCCTGAGACCTGTCCAGTTTTAGGCAAAGTACCCTTTTAAGGTGAGAAAGCTGGTCCTTTCTCTACTCAATAAGCAAGCATTCTCCTCCTAGGATGACCCACACACATAGGCTGAATGCTTTAAACAAGACACATAAATGTCCTCACATTTCTGCCAGTCCAAGATCAAGACACTATCAGGAATGAATTCCAGTGAGCCGACAGTCTCCTACTCACTGTCCTCATAAGAACTTGTGTGTGTGTGTGTGTGTGTAGAGGGAGGGAGAGAGCTCTCCGAAGGGTGTGTTCCTCTTCTTTCAATGATGCCAGTCCCACTAAGTCCTATGCTTATGACCTCATTTAACTAGAATTACTTCCTTAAAAGGCTCTATTCGCCAGTGTAGTTACAGTAGAGATGAAGGCTCCAGGATATGAATTTGAAGAAAACACATATCTGCCAGGAATACCATCCTCCCTGAGAGCCTGTTCTTGCCATATTCATACTCTTTACTTAAAACACTTAGTATATTATATGATATATAAAAGAGGCATAGTGACTATGAAGAGAATTAAGGAGTCTTCAAATGAGTGCAAAAGTTCATGTTTGTTCACTTTAATTTTTTCAAGATATGTAGTCATTATACTAGAAATTATTTTTATTAAGTATACTTCAATAAAAACATGATTTATGATTTCTTAAAATAACACAAATAACAAAATAACACTGGGCCAGTGAGAGGGTTCAGCAGGCAAAAGTGTTTGATGCCAAGCCTGACAATCTGAGTTTGGTCCCCACAAACAAGGTAGAAAGAGAGAACCAAACTTCACAGATTGTCCTCTGATTTCCAAATGTGAGTTATAGCATACGCATGTACACAAATGCATGCATACACACACACACACATACACACACACACACACACACACACACACATAAATATTAAACAATTAAATAACAAACATTTTTCTCTCTCTTTTGCAGATCGTTTTGGGAGTATTTTGGTAAAAATGGAAAATAATGAAATGTTCTTTTTCAAGGCTGACATTACAGATGCAATTAAGCTACATGTATGGGCAAACAGTACAGTAAAGTCAGCACTTTTCTTTAACAAATCTTCTAAAGTATATATTGTATATTTTAGTGAAAAATTCTTGGTACAGCCACAGGAATACCCCTTATATCTGGAGCTACAAAGTGTAATTCACAAAACCAAAGACAAATGCCCATATATGGCATTTCAACACAATATTCTTAGTGATTTTTATTTTATGGACAAAGGAGAAAGCCTGACAATTTGGACTCAAATAGTTTACCCAGAAAATATAGGTCTCTATATTATTGTAGAACACTATGGCCCAAGTGTATTAACCTGGACGCAAGAGATCTCCTATGAGATTGCCTCTGGATTCTCTACTAAAAGTGTGGTAAGTTAGTATTTTTTATTTCTGTATCTGGTTTGAATAAATATAAAAACATTAGCTTCTTTTTCTTTGAGAGAGAGAAGTGGGGGCATCTCACTAGACAGGGAGGCTGGTCTAGTTGACTAGTGAGCCCGAGGGGGCCAGATCCACCTGTCTCTGCACACCTGTAAGAAATTATCTAGATTAGGTTAGCTCCTGGGCATGCTTTTCTTGAATAGGTTAATTGAAATGCAAAGCCTAAATTGTGTGTGGCATCTGGGCTTGAGCCCAGATGTAAGCAAGTCAGAAGGGAACCTTTTGCTTCTGCCCACTTGCCTTTGCTTTCACTGATGAGTTTACCTAGCGGGTTTCTTCTGCTGCCACCACTGTTATTGGTGATATCAGAATCCATATTCTTTGTCCTTCCAACATGGAATGAAAACCAGCAGCTCTCCAGGAAACCCTCAGGCTTTCAGCACCACACTGGGGCTGCTGAGACAGCCAGCCTCCTAGATGAAGCAGCTATCGGCCTATGGGCCTCTCTAGCACAAGGACAGCCACTGCTGGACCATCTAGACCATATCATCTAAGGCAATTAAAAAAAAAAAAACTTTAAAAGTAGCTGCCAGGCTGTTACTGCTGCAGGGTCTTGAGTACAGTCATTGTTGGACTACCCAGCCTACATCATGTAAGTCAATCTAATAAATCTGTTGTTCCTCTGCAAGGGTTTACTACTTGAGGAAATAGACAAACAAGCTGTGTTACACTGCAGAGGGGTATGCACACAAGCATGTGCACAGTGAATGCAACCACCTTTCCAAATCATCTACTATAATATATATATGTACATATATATACATATGTATATACATGGGATATTTTATTGTATATTGTGTTTTATAGCATGCAATATTATTAACATATGACATGTTATCATATGCTATTACATAATGTAATGTATTAAACATTAAAATACATTAATTATCAATATGCAATAATACAATACAGGAAATGTGGGAGGCTGAAATTACAGAAGAGCATTTTCACAAGGCAGGTGAACATTTTAAAAAACAGAACAAAGCGTTCTGGAAAATATTCTGTGTGCAAAGATTTGTGAGAGTTCAGAGAAGAGCATCAGATGGCAAAATTACATCATGGTCTTCTCAGCTCAGGGAATAAGGGATCAGTAAAAACAAGAGTGCTGAGGTGACAGAAACTAAATGATGGGAGAGAGAAGTATAAAGATGAAGATTTGAAATTAAAACGGGCTAGGGAGATGAGCCAATCAGTAAAATGCTTGCCCTGTAAGCACAGGACATGAGTTTGATCCCCACAACCCACATTTGGTAGCATAAGCTTTAAACCCCAGCCTATTGTTCTTAGAGACAGACAGGTCCCTACCCACAGCTCACCACAAGTCAGCCCGGCCTATTTGATAAACTACATATCAGTGACAGCCCCTGCCTCAAGAGGGTGGGACAGTTTGGAGAGATGGCTCAGTGGTAGAGATCCCAGGTACCATTCCTGACACCCTTATGATAACTCACAACCATCTAAAACTCCAGTTCCAGGAGGTCTGATGCTCTTGTCTGTCTCTGAGAGCACTGTATGCATGCATGCATACATACATGCAGGTAAATACACAAAAATAAAATCTAAAAAGAAATTTTTTTTTAAAGAATATGAATGGTACCTGAGGAACAACACCTAAGGTTGTTCTCTGGCTTCAACAAGGAACACATGACTGCGTTCACGTGTGTGTGTGTGTGTGTGTGTGTGTGTGCATGCACGCGTGTGCACACACACACACACACACTCACACAGAGGAGAGTAAAAAAATGTAACAAAGTAAAATAATGTATACATGATTGAGGTTTTATAAAAGAAGAATTTAAAAGAAATTAAAAGTAATGGCTGAGCTTGTAAAGTCATTTGTCACCAAGCCTGGTGATCTGAGTTTGAGTCCCCAGAACCTATATGGTAGGAAAGAACCAACTCCTTCAAGTTGTCCTCTGACCTTTACCTATATGCTGTGACATATAGGTATGCATACCCCTATACATATCACACACACTAAATACATAAATAAGTCTGAAGTATATTGTTTCTCTTATTTAAATATTTACATATCTAAAAGTATACAATGTGTCTTTGAGAAACTTGGTTTCAGTGATAAACACTGTACCCTGTTCTCAGCATCTAGATGTACAACCTAAATGACACTAATTTGAGGCCCCATTCCCACCTTTTCTGCTCTACAGAATCTTTTCAATTTTCTCTTTCAGTTAACAACATTTTCTCAGACAACAAGTTATGAATCAGTAGATGATTACTTCCAGCTACAGTAAGTATGACTTTTAAATATATTACTGAGTCCCTGATGTGTAAGTTTTATTTCATTTAAATGAATTCATGCCCTTTCAGCTGTCCAAATTTCAAGTTCTTTTGCATGTCTAGGTATTTTGCTTTTAAAATGCAAGTACTCTTTGTAATTCAATGGGAAGTGAGCTGAAGGTTCTCCTTCACACTGCCAAAGATGACAAAAGATTGTCATATCTTAGCTTGCTTTGCAACTGTCATGAAACACCTGAAGCAATGAAGCTCCAAGAAGAAAGGAGTTATTTTGAAGTTCTGGGTTCATGCCTCAGGCTGGCTCCATTGTTTCTGAAACTATGGCCAGGCAGTAGCATCAGAGCAAGACCAGGTGATGGATCCCATGAGCCAGGTGACAAGGAGGAAGAAATCAGGGTCAACAGTCCCCTTCAAGGACATCACCCCCTTAAGGTCCACCATCACCTGATGGTACTGATCTGGGGACCATGCCACATGTGAGCCTTAAAGACATTCTTATCCAGACCAAAACAGCTACTTGTTAATTCAACAATTTTCATGTTTTATCATTAATTCCCAACTCAAAGTCTCTACATGGTCTCCTTAATCAAAAGGAAGAAGTCTTCATATCAGAGAAAGTCTTTAACTGTAAATAGAAAGACTGAGCCCTGGCATATCAGAACCTATCTCCAGTGGAAAAAAGACAAATGCCAATTAATTATAAATTAGATAATCCCAAGTGCTGATGAGTGTTGTTAATAAAATAGGGGGCCTGCCACATAAGCATGAAGACCTGATTTGGATCTCTTGTACCCACATAAAAGCTAGGCATGGTGTCACATATCTGAAACCCCAGCACTGGGGGGCAAGGAGATGTGGGATGATCAGAGTCTAGACTAATCAGTGAGGTCCTGGTTCAGTAAGAGAGCTTATTTCAAAAACTAAGGTGGACAGGACAGTGATCAAGAAAGACATATGATGTCAACCTATGGCCCCTACAAGCACATACATGAGTACACATATATATGTACATGCAGAGGTACACACACATAGCACAAAAAAAAAAAAAAAAAAAAAAAGAAAGAAAGAAATGACAAATGGCAGATCAGTGACTTAGGAAGAGATGGAAGAAAGTGCTCCTTGTACATACTAGTCAGAAGAAGCACTGTCACCCTGTCCCCCATCCTCTGCCTTTCCTCTCTGGCTTTGAGGGATGGCTAATCTCAGCTGTCAGTTGATGAGATCTAGATTTATCTGGGAGATGGTCTCTGAACATGCCCATGGGGGATAATCATGATTAGATTAGCTGAGGCAAGAAGACCAGACCATTGTGAGTGGGACCATTACCTGGTGTGATGGCTAGTTTTATGGCAACTTGACACAAGCTAGAGTCATCTGAAAGGAGGCAACCTCAACTGAGAAAATGCCTTTTTTAATTTGTAATGGAGGAAGGCCCAGCCCACATGGATGGTGCCATCCCTGGGCATGGTCCTGAGTTCTATTTAAAAAAAAAAATGCTAAGCAAGCCACGAGGAGCAAGTCAGTAAGCAGCACCCCTCCTTGGTCTCTGCATCAGTTTCTTGCCCTATTTGAGTTCCTGTCCTGGCTTCCTTTGTTGAAGAACTATGATATGGAAGTGTAAGTCAAATAAATCCGTTTCTTTGGTCATGGTGTTTTAGCACAGCAATAGTGATCCTAAGACACCTGGGATATAAAGCAGAAAAAGTACACCACACACAAGCATTTACCCATTTCTATTCCCTGACTGTGGAAGTAATGTGACAGTCTGCTGTTCCAACTTCTTGCTGCCTTGACTTCCTCATCAAGATAAACTATGAACTGTGAACTCACGTTGACTCACTCTCCTTCCCTTAAGTGGTCCTTGTCAGGGCACTTTATCATAGCAACACAACAAAAATAACTAATACAACTGCCAATGGTATAGGTTCCCTTTGATATTTTTGTTTATATGGATATTTACTGAGAACTTATATTGTAGACCAAATGTGCTATTTCTGTTTGTTTTTGAAACATCTATTTTGCCCAAACACAAAGGCATTATATCTGACCTTTCTTTGAGTTCAAATCAAATCAGTTATGCAACTTAATGAGATTAGGAGGTGATTTGCTCTTTGTCATTTCAAAGTTGTTGCCAGTGGGGTGGGAATTCCACAGAGCAAAAGGAAGAGCGTGTTCAGGAGAAAGCAGGTCAAGGCATCAGGTGCAGAACCTCAGTATAGAAACACTGAGCATGTTTCTCAGTGGGGATGAGACCTACACAAAATGCTGATGATGCTCACTTCTGTTTCCTGCTGTGCCAACAACCATCTGGTTAATGCATGGGATCCAAAGGAGCAGGGAGGGGCCAGGTGTGAGGTAGAGTACTGGAGCTGCCATAGACATCACCATAGTGAAGAGTTTGCCTTCCCAGAAGTAGCCACCATCCAGGCCTCTTCAGCTCCTCACAGGGTTTGACCCCATGTGTAATAGGACTTCACAATTGCTCTACATGAAAACACATTCCTGTCTGTCTCCTACAATAACCTGTGTGGATTGTTTTTCCTAGGGAAAAGAACATGGGTCTCATGCTTATTCAATTCCGACCTAGTGAATTTTCAAAAACATGTCCAATAGCCAAACAGGTGGGTGACATGGTTTGGAGATCAATTGCTTTTCCTTCAGAAATATATAGCCAGGGACTGGAAGGTGCATCAGTGGAAAACTCACTTGCCACATAAGCTTTAGGACCTGAATTTAGATCTTCAGAACTCAGGTAAATTGTGTGGCGGGTATGGCAGTCCACCTGTAATTCCAGCACTTGGATGGTGGAGTCAGGGAATTCCCAGAGCAAGCCAGCTGGGTAGATGAGTCATGTCAGTGAGCTCTGAGTTCAATAGAGAGACTCTGTCTCAAAGAATAAGGTGGAGAGCAATTGGAGGATGACTCCTGATGATACCAATCTAAAGCCTCCACACATAAGTATACGCACGCACATGCATATTCACCTACACCCATATGTACTTACACATAGATGGGCACACACAAGCACAACACACACATATACACGTGCTAAAAAACATATAACTAGCAAACTATGTATTGCCTTCATATGTCCTCTCCCCTCTACTTCTCATGTGCAATGTTTCATGGGGAAGATAGCCATCCTTTGTTTTGGAAACACAAGATACAATTTCTGCTTTCTATGAATCTCTCATCTAGAATGGGATTGTATAAATGTATACAAACAGATAACATTAGTAGTCTTTGAAGGGCTGAAGGTAAACAGTGTAAAGAAAAATTGAAATTAATGGATACAATGCAATTGGGCAGCATTTGTCAAAGAAATCTGCCAGACATACCCATTGATCGTGCATTTTAATCATACAGAGGGACTCATTTGTTTTTTCAGAGGAACTTACTATATCCCATTATACTTCTGGTTTTCAGTCTGTGTACTTGGTAATGGGTGTTATAAAGTGCCCTCCCTAAAGGGAAATACACCCCATGTAAGGCAACACAGTGCATACCACCCACCACACCTGACCCATAGTCACCAACTGCACCCCTCACTCACCTGCATCCTGCAATGGGAGTACAAAACTGCAATCTTGGCTAAGTCTGGATTTTTCCTTCAGAGGTTTGGCTCTGACCTTTGTGGATACCTTCTGGAAGCACATGGTTTCTCCTGTCACTCTCTATTCATGAATATACAAATATATTCATGAATATATATAGGCTTCCTCTTTGCCTGACCCTGCCCAGCCTGGCTTTATCTCACCTGAGTTCAGCTATACCACTCACTCACTGGCTTGGTCAAGCTTCTGCTCCCTTTGAAGCCTCCTTGCCCCCACTGTAAAAGGAAACATTGGTCTTATAGGAATGCTGGGAGTGACAAGTGGAATCATTTATGAAAAATATTCAGAAAACAATGCCTGCCACAGAATCATTATCTAATAACACTGGGGGTGAGGGGAAGTTTCGCCTTCTCTTTTATTCCAAGCCAATCCAAATTCAGATCTAACCTTGTAGGCCCCCTGCAGTGTACAATGGCTTATCTCTGAAATCCAGTGGAGTATTATACAACAGCCCTCCTAAGCAACAGGAAAATGTAATGCTGTAGAGACAGGTGGTCTATTAGACAGGGAAGTCAAAACCTGTGAACCAACTACAGAGTATTCTGTCAGGCACAGGATCCCTTCTTTGCACTCTGGACCCATGCTCATGAATTATTAAGTAAGTCATTGGCCTCCTGGGAAAATAGTCCAGGGACAGACAGTGCCAACTCTGCCCTTTTCTCCATCTGATGATGGCAGGCTCTTGTTAAAACTGCCAGACCAAATGGGCTACAGTGAGCCATTTGGATTAAAGCATGCCATCTTTGTCATTTGGTCTCATTGCCTGAAGCAAATACAACTGTCATCTCCAACAAGGCAGCAGATCACCTTTCAACCATGCACTAGGGGTTGAACATGCAGAAGTGTAGGCTAGCCCCCTGGTGTCCCTGTTAATTCTTTGGGAGAAGAATTACCCCATGAAGGGATGACAGCTCTAATATGCTGCCAATCAGCACATCAGTGACAATGGCTGTAAGAATTCCCATGTGGGATCCTTTGTTCTATAAGCTGGGCCTGCTGCTAAGGGAATGCTCAGTGGCTAAGAGTTTAGTTCCCAGGATTTAGCTTCTAGCATCCAAATGGGCTGGTTCACAACTGATTGCAACTCCAGTTCCAGGGGATCCCATCTTCTCTTCTGGCCTCTATGAGCACCTGAATATATGTGGTGCACACACAAACAAGCAGGCAAATACACAGATACATAAAATAAAATTTGCTGGGCCTGACCCTGAGCTGAGGCAGGAACAGTCCTGTCCTGTCTCTGAACTAGAGAAATGTGTTCCCTTAGTCTCTGGATCAGATTGTCTCCAAGCAGATGTCCAGAAGGCCACGTGCCTAACCTGCAGCTATAGTTTCCTTAGAAAGCAGGCTTCCTCTGCTGTAGCTCCTTTTCCAGGTCGACCTGCAGGACAACTATTTATAATCCTAGCTATAGTTGCTGGTTCAGGTGCTTGTGATTTTTGACAGCACAGATCAGGATGAGAATGGGGTATTACAAATGAACACCAGTTGTTCTGAGGATAGAGTTGAGAAGTACAGCCACCCTTTGATGGGCTGCTTAATACACAGAAAGGGCAGGGGTGTGCTTCTGGGTGTATTTTGAAGGAAAGAAAAGATAGAATGATCATAGGTAATAAGAGATGCAAGTCTGGGAAAATAAAGCACATCCTGTGTGTGAGATCAGATGGTTAAGCAAAGGGATTCCAAGAACTTTCCCCTGCTGAGCAGGCCCCTGGCAAGAGGCCAGAAAGGCCATGGCTTACAAGGCAGGGGAGAGAGAACTAGGCCCTTGGCTCTGACAGAAACATGGTTAGTTCTACAAAGTTGAAAGCAGTTACCTGCTATTTTTTTTTTCCCTCTCTTTTTAATCTATGTAACCCTGGATGCCTTCTTAAGCCTTCTTTTAAGGTGGATACAGTAGTTGCTTTAGTCCTACCTAAGCTGTGTGTACTTTTTAAGCTTTGGCCAAGAGTTTTTCTTAATTGTAGAAATTTGATTAAATTAACCTTCAAATGTTAAATGCAATACATCTGGCTACCAGGTATGAAAAGCAAAATGAAACAAAAAGACTCTTTTATTTTTTTGAACATAGTCATCATTCTACCATGCCCTTCCTGGAAAAGCAGTTGATCTTTTCAACAGTGGAGGGATTCAGGGGCAAAAAACAATATATTTCTCTAATCAGGGTCAATGTAACAAGACCCTATATCCAAAATAATGGGGAAATATATATATATATATATATATATATATATATATATATATATATATCTTATGCATGCATCACATCAGACTGCAACAGATTTTTGTATATATGTATATATCTGTGGTGTATATGCATGTGTACATGTGTGTACACACCTGTTCGTGTGTTCACAACTATGGAGGCCCAAGGTTGATTAATGTCAGATGTCACCCTCGATGCATTCTACCTTCCATATTGAGATCTGGTCTCTCTTGCAGTGGAGTTAGGGTGTTTAGAACAAATATCCATAGGCCTAGCATATAGCCTATCAGTAGTTGGCCTGTTACTCCTTTGAACATAGACTAGCACTGTGTAAACCGGAACCAGCAAAGCAAGAAAAACCACTGCATACAAGGCTACTCAATTTCCTGACAAATTACTGCTTGAATTGAGTACATTATAGATGGCTGCTGGCAGAGTCTACAGCGCCAGCTGCAAGCATGGAGTTGATAGTGTTGCTGAAGTGGGAATAGAAGTTGAGATCCACTGGGTCTCACCTCCAAGATATCTCATTAGGTATATGCAAACACTCTAAAATCTGATCCACTTCTGGTGCCACAAGTTACAGATAAGGGATACTCAGTCTGTGTTTCTAATCTAAAATATAATTGTGTTTGGCTCTAAAGCTAGCTCAGGTCATGTGAGTCAGAGTTGCTGAATTCACTTTGTAAATTACTTCATTTTTAGGTATTTGAAATTGCTGTTGGATGTGATGCAAATAAATACATTCAAGTTAAAGGGTAAGTATATCACTTCCATTTGCTGGGTCTTACTCTCTAAGTTTTAAAACAAATGGTGCATGGAGTGGTAATCATGGGTTGAAAACACCAGCGTCTAACTAGCAAGCTCATGATGAAATCTAAAGTTGAACTAGAATTAGTATCCAACTTCAGATGGTTTGAATACTTTATTTTATGTGTATGAGTATTTTGCCTGCATATATGTCTGTGCATTACATGCATGTCTGGTGCTCTAAGAGTCCAGAAGAGGGCATCCTAAAACTAGACCAGGCCAACCTGGTCTACAAAGTAAGTTTCAGGACAGGCTCTATGTCTCAAAAGACCAAAAGAAAAAAAATATCCCAAGACACTAGGAGAGTTTAATAATAACTACTGAAGGCAACATGTTAATAAATCAATGCTCAGTACAGTCAAATGAATGGCAAATCCCTTCTCAGGTTCCCAACTGCCTACCGTATCACATCAAGTGGTGCACAGCAAGCAATGCTACAGCATGAGCCTGTCTACTCTGGGGGGATCTGAGTCTAACAGTCAAGCAGCTCTGAGAACCACCTGGAGAGCATGCTTAGCTATGGGACCTTTCAGGCTTTTCTCTAGCTCTCCATCAATGGCCTGATGCTCTGAAACCATAAGAAGAATTTGCATATCTTGGGTTCAAGTTGCTGTGAGCAGAAAGCCTATTTAGTTATCAAGGAGCAAGCACAGTCTGGGATCCCAGGCCCCTGACGAGAGCTAGGAAAGGCGTCAGCACAGGAAAACACCTTTTAGGGCCTCATTGAGTTAGAGTTCATGGTGGTCTAGGCATCTAATGTCCATCTAAAAGGCTAGGCTCCTTCCAAATTACACTGAAAACAGCTAGCCAAAATGACTAAATGAATACTATAACATATTAAGGAATTTTTATCATTCATAATCCATGAGAGTCATCTATCTGTGTCCAAGAAAAAATGAAAACTATTCATCTTTAAAATGCGTTTCCATCTGCACACTGACTCTCCAGTCACAAGTAGAAATATTGTTTTAAAAAAAACTTAGCAGGTATGGTGGAACGTGCCTTTAATCATCTCACCTGGTCCCTCCCTAGGGCTCCAGTCCCCACCTGCCCCAAGTCCACCTGTAAAACCTATTCAATCTATTCTATTTCTCCTTCCCAGGGAGAGCCATGCATCCCCTCTAGACATGCCATCTCTATGTCTATGGATTGTAGCTTGGTTAGCATTTATTTAACAGCTAATATCCACTTAGCATATGTGTCTTTCTGGGTCTGGGTTACCTCACTCAGGATGGTTCTTTTCTAGTTCCACCCATTTGCCTGCGAATTTCATGACATTACTTTTTAAAATTGCTGATTAATACTCTATTGGGCAAATGTACCACATTTTCTCTATACACTCTTTGGTTGAGAGACATCTAGTTTGTTTTCAATTTCTGGCTATTATAAATAAAGTCACAATGAACATGGTTGAGCCAGTATCTTTGTGGTAAGATGGGGTGTCCTTTGAGTATATGCCCAAGAGTGGTATAGCTAGGTCTCAATATATGGTTAACTGTGGCCACATGTGGCATAATAGACTTCTTATGCTTATTATTCCTACCTAAATGATCATTATAGTTTTTGAAATTCTCTCCTCCCTTTATTTCTTCTAAATTTTTAGTAAGTATGTACAAAATATGAGGTAAATAAGAAAAGTTTGTGTGGTGATTTTTTTCTTTTTTTTTTTTTTTTTTTTTTTTTTTTTTTTATGATCTAACAAATAAAGGGCAATCCTGTACTCAGATTGCATCTCCAGACTGCCTCTGTCTCTGCCAAACCTCAGACTGCCTGAGCTCCTGTCTCCTCCCACCTTAAATTCTTCTCTGGTGCTGGGATTAAAGGGGTGGGATCCTAAGTGCTGAGATCACCTTTGTGTGAGCTCTGTTTCTCTTTTAGACTGGATCAATTTATCTCAGGGTGGCCTTGAACTAACAGAGACTGGTCTGCCTGTCTACCAAGTGCTGGAATTAAATGTGTACACCATCACTGCCTGGCCTTTATGGCTAATCTTCAAGCAAGCTTTACTTGTTAGATCATAAACAAAATATCACCACAAGTTTGTAGAACTGATTTTTTAATTAGAAATGCAAACAAAGGTAAGGCCACAAACTGATCCCAGAGACTTTAATTTAGTAAATGAATTATGTAACAATCTCCAGTTTTAAAATCACTGGGTTTAATGATGAATTGTTTATGCATGTATTATGTTTTACTTTTGTAGATTTAGTAAATCTGGATGTCAGCGCCGTGATTTTTCTTATGTGATTGACAAGTAAGAAACATTTTTAACATAAGCATATTAATGTACAGCTAATAGTTTATAATCAGCTGGTACTTAGTGGCATGCTTGTATTTAGCTTGACAGTTTCAAATTTTAAAAGAAGCTGTAGATACAACCCTTAACCTTATCTAAAACATGTACAAACACACTTATCATTGTCCTCTCTGGTTTAATTCAATGAACAAAGCAAGTATCATTTAGTCTCAAATCCTACATTGTTCCTTACCATTTAAGGAATACAAGTAAGGGTATGTATTTCCCACCTCACTTTTCTATATGATTGTATAATAACCTAGTTAGAATTTACAGATGTCTCTTAAGTTCACAGAGAAAGATTCCATTATAGGAACAAATTGAAATTAGGGATTACTGTGTGTTTTAAAATATACTTTTAGAACCTAGAGAGATGGTTCAGTGAATAAAGTCCCCCAAACCCGTGGAATTCTAGGCACAGTCATATCGATCATAAATCCCAGGGCACCTACAGTAAGACTGGGAAAGGAAACAAGAGACTCTTGCAGACTAGCTAAATGGTCATACTCAGTGGCAAACAGCAAAAATACCATAACAAGCAACGTAGAAAGTATGGGCCAACAGAAGAGGTTGTCCTTTGACCTCTGTATGCATGCCATAGTATATATGTGCCTGCATTTATACAAATGTGTATACATACACACACATCAAACATGTACAACAAATAAGTTAATTAATTAAAATACACATTTAAGGATGTGCATGTGGTTCAAGTGGTAGAGTACCTGCCAGGCATGACAAAACACACACATGTATAAGACATGAGGGCACACATCTATACCAAATCACAGCATTTGCAAGGTGGAGACAAGAGGATCAATGAGTTTGAAGACAGCCTGAGAATTATGATATCTTGTCTTTAAAAACAAAATATGTTGTTTCTGACTCGTTCATTTAGTAATTGTAGTGATTTTAATGAGAATGTCCAACATAGGCTCATATATTAGAATACTTAGTCATCACTGAGTGGAACTGTTTGGGAAGGAATAAGAAATGTGGCCTTGTTGGAGGAAGTGTGTCACTGGGAACAAAGCCTAGCCTCTCTCTCTCTCTCTCTCTCTCTCTCTCTCTCTCTCTCTCTCTCTCTCTCTCTCTCTCTCTCTCTCTCTCTCTCCTGCCTGTGGATCAGAGTATAAAAGTCTCAGCTACTGTTCCAGCACCACACTGGCCTGCTCCTCACCATAATGATCATGGACTAACCCTCTGAAACTGTTAGCAAGCCCCTAATTAAATGCTTTTTAAAAAATAAGTCTTGCCTTGGTCATGGTGTCTCTTCACAGTAAAGAACAGTGACTAGGTCTGTAATGTTCTGGGGAACACAGTGTTGGAACAACTCAGTGAATACAGATTTTCCAACCATGTATCCTTCTCATTAGTGAAGCAAAGTTTGCAGTCTTGATTAAGTTTCATACAATTTCTGAAAATGGTTCCATGTCTCCAAATAAAGGACAATGGCCTGTACCTGCTTGGTTGCTGGTTGATGTGAGATTGTTTTCATAAATGTGGCAAAAGATACGTGTGAGAAGTGCCAGTTGTAGAAAGCACTTGGTAGTTTATAATCCTGTTTCTCTACTTGGCTTTTGTGACAGCTGCCTAAGTAAACTATGCCTTTTAGTTTTTAAGAGGAATTGAGGAAGAATAGGCAGGTAATGACAGGTGTCTTTTTTCCACAGGGAGTTTCTGAGAAATAGACCTTCTGAAAACTTGGTAAGAAAAGCATACTATTTGTCAATGTGATGAATGAACACAACCACTAAAGCATTTTTCTTTTTCTAGAAAATAAGGTATGATGTGGGAAAATATGGTTGCCCCCGGAGACTTGAATTCAACGAGCCGTTTCACCCAATAATAGAGCTGTAAGTTCATACTCACTTAGGAGATTAATATGTGTTCTGGAGAGATGGCTCAGTTGTTAAGAGTACATTCTGCTGTAACAGAGGATCTGAGTTCAGTTCCTAGCATCCACACACTGTCTCACAACCACCTGTAATTCTAGGTCCAGGGGATCTGATACCCTGTTCTGGCCTCTACAGACTTAGAGGATGACTTGGTTGAGAAGGGCTTGGCTTCTCTCGGGTGGAGAGGGGCAGCAATGGTGACCTGGTACCTTACTTGAGATTTCCTGCTGGGGTCCAGAAGCTTCTGTTAGCATGCTTTGCTGCTCTTCTTCCTTTCCCACCCAGTGTACTTCTAAGGTTCTACCCTACCTACATCATGCCCTCTCCCACCTACATCATGAAGCTACACTCCCTCATCAAAATCCTCTGTACATGGTCCTAATTCTCTCTAGCATTCACCGTCTAGTCTTCCTGGGTACCAAGGCTCTCCTTTCCCTATTGAGACCTACTTTTGTGTTTGTTTCCTTTTTTTTTTTTTTTTTTTTTTTTTTTTTTTTTTTGATGCTTATTTTTCCAGGAGTAAAAAAAAAAAAAAAAAAATAGACAACAAGCATTAAAAAGTGTATGTTCTCTCCCAATAAGGTATTCTTTTTAATTCAGATCATCATCATGTAATGCCCACTTTCCACCAACTACCATGCCAAATGCTACCCAAGTACTGTGCCATGCACTAGGAATCCAAGGTCAAGGGCAGGAGGATCTCTACCCTCAATGATGGACTAAATAGATACAAAAGCTGATATACCAAGTTGAGTTATAGACTGGGATGAAAGGGGCAGTAGGTATTAGAACTCAAAAGGAAATACTCTGCTCCCTATGAGGAGTAATAGGTTTGGGGAATTATTCTGAAATCCTGTACTGGATCCTTAAAGGATAATGTATACTTACCTGAACCCAAAGGGAAGGTGGAGAGGAGAGGGTATCAGTGAATTCTACTGGGTATCAATGAATTCTACTGGGTAAGCCTTTGAGGAGGACAAAGTATAAACCTACAAGTGAAAGCATCAGCAGAAGGGCCAGGGAAGCTGTCCTGCAGGGTCCAGACCATGCAAAGCTTTCATTCCCTTCTTCCAGAACAGTCGTGTGAGTTAAGTGTTTGCTTTAGCTGGGTCTCTCTGAATTCTAGGGAAAGAAGTCTAAGTAGGGAGACCTGTTGATAAAATTTTATTTAGGAAGTAGGGAATGATTGAAAAGGTGTCATGGACTAAGAAGTTCATTGATGATACAAATTATAGATTATATAGGTATGATTATAACCAGAACATGTTGATGATTGATATGTGAGTGGTAAGGGAAAGGAAGTCAATGAATGAGTCAAAGGTGCTGTCAATCAAATGTTGACAACACATCTACCCACCTTTAAGCATCTATACCATTTTCACTCTTAGTCACCCTGTGTCTTAGTTAGGATTTCTAATGTTGTGATGAAACATCATGACCAAAAGCAAATTGCGGAAGAAAAGATTTATTTCTGCATACAGTTTGTAGTTCATCATCCAAAGAAGTGAGAGCACAAACTCAAGCAGGGCAGGAGCCTGGAGCAGGAGCTGATGCAGAGGCCATAGAAGGTGCTGCTTACTGCCTTGTTCCTTGTGACTTGCTCAGCCTGCTTTCTTATAGCAACCCAGGACCACCAGCCCAGGGGTGGCACTGCCCATAGTGAGTGAGGTCATCCTGCATCAATCATCAATCAAGAAAATGTACCATAGGCTTGCCCACAGACCAATATGCTTGCTGTATTCCCTGACCAGCCTCACTCCTCCCAAATGAACCTGGTCTGTGTCAATTTAACATAAAAACTAGCCAGCACAGACTAGGTGAACTATCTAAAGCCTGTCTCTCAACTTAAGAAACAGTATGACAGCCCTTCACTACTTAAGAACATTGTTCCTGAATGTTCCTCTCTATCTTCCAGATCGTCTCTCCTCTCTCTTTTAGTATCCTCTGAGGAACAGAGCACATCCAATGAATAAATATTAAAGGGGGTTTTACTAGACTGACTTACAAGATAAGGCCTGGGTAATCCAACAATGGCTGTCTTCACCCAGAGAACTCAGAAGCCACACAGTCCAGGAGACTTTGGTCCACACTGCAAGGCTGAAGAAGCTGAGTTCTTTTCTTTTTTCTTTTTCTTTCTTTCTTCTTCTCCTTCTCCTTCTCCTCCTTCTCCTCCTTCTTCTTCTGTTCTGTCTGCATTTATGCCTGCATGCCAGAAGAGGGCACCAAATGGTTGCAAACCACCATGTGGTTTCTGGGAATTGAACTCAGGACCCCTGGAAGAGCAGCCAGTGCTCTTAACCTTTGAGCAATCTCTCCAGCTCTAAGCTGTGTCCTGACTTCAGTAAAGAAAGACTTACTGGTAAAGCAAACAGGGTCAGTGAACACAACACCAAGACACAAGGGCAATGAAGTGAAAGGTGAAGGATTTCTCCTTGAACCTCCTCACATCTGGTCAGCTGCTGGAAGATACTGCCCACCTTCAGGGTGGTAACCAAGAAAATCCTTCACAGGCATGCTTGGAGATTAACCTAAACTAAAGTAATCCCTCACAAGTGTGCCCAGAGGCTTGCCTCACAGATGATTCTAGATCCTGGCAAGGTGACAACCAATATTAACCATCACACCATCTCTCCTAGTTCATCCTGCAAAGGTACACTCACTGAACAAAGGAGCAACAAACAGGACCTGCTTGACTGAACTGTAGCTACTGTGTACATGATCACCCTCTTCTCTTGTTCTCTCCCAATGCCCCTCTGTCCATCCTTTATGCTCCCCTAAACACAGATAATAAAAGACCTAGTAAATAGGATGGATCATCCCCAAGTTTAGAATATGAAGACCAGTAATGAGGACTCTTCAATTCCTGAAGTCGAATTTTCATAGAAAAATTACCAACTGTTGGGAATTTAGCTGCTAATTAGTGACATTCCCTGAATTCTCATATTTAATTAGAATTCTATTCCATGCTAGTGAAAATTTATTAAAATAAGCAAGCTCATGTAAGCAAGTCTTTTTGTCACATAGTCACAATGAAGCAAAACTCCTAAACGATGGTTCATGCAATGCATGCTTGTTACACAGGATGGCACTGTGGCTCTTTGCTTTAGCTGTCCTGGCACCACGGGGATCTTTTTGTCCTTGAGCCAAATACAACTTTGCACCTAATTCTGAAAACAAAACAAAAAACTTAACATTTTTGTGGGGGAGGTGCTGTCAGGTGTCAGAATCAGATTTCTCCTTCCACTTAGTGGTTCCAGGGATCAAACTCAAGTCATCAGGCTCTGTGGAAAGTGCCTTTGCCTGATCAGCCATTTCATCTCATCAGCGCCTAATTCTTAGGAAATCAAGAATTGTGCAGCCTACATGGGTATAATCAAACTCCTGCTTCCACAAAAACTGCTAGCTTTTGAGCTTGGCTCCTCCTGAGTGTCCTTGGATTCTTCTGTGGCAAGGGGCCAGAGTACTCAAGTGAGGTTTTCATTTTTCTGTGGTTTTCCTAGCTCAGACACCAAGCAGCTGTTCCCTGTTTGGGAACTAAGCTTCCAAGCTCTTTATGGTTTCTCGAAACTAGTAAACACAGAAACAAAAATGGCGCTTCCCAAGTACTGCTTTTTAACAAACTCTGCCTGCCTGCTCTGCACTTTGTGAGAATCAGACAATAACAAATTAGGTTAGCCAATGTCGGGTAGCAGAAAACCTCAACCAACCTGAAACCCAGGTTCAACAGCTTTGAAGTGAAACAGAGATCTGGACAGAGAACAAAGAGACACTCTCAAGGACCTAATGTGGTTTTCTTTCTTTCTTCCTTTTTTCTTTTTCATTTTTTTGTAAATCAACACAGCTGATAAGTGATAAATTGTATTTTAAAAGCAAGAACTGGACATTAAAGTCTGAGTAATTTCCACCCAATGAATATATGGGGACAATCTCATTCAGAAACATGAGCAATAAGGGAAAAGTTTCTACACCCTGATAAGCCTCTCCACCTATGCAGCAATCCAAACCAGACCAAATCAAACCAAATTAGAAAAAGCCCATGTTTAATGGATACAATGTTCCCAGGGGACAAAACAAAAAACAAACAAAAAACAGACACTTCTGTTTTCTGGGAGGCTGTTTAAATGTTCTGTGGGAGTGGTCTTGAGCATCTCTTGGGGAGGGTCATCATTTGGCAGCTTTCTGATATGCAGCAGGATTTGGAGGGAGATGGGGGAGGGGTGTTTGGGTGGAACTTCCACCATAACATTCCAGACTCTTTGGGTATATGGATGCCAGGGGCTGGGGTGAAGTTTCCACCATAACAATAAGGAGTATGGAAAGTTGACACGAGTCTGCATTCGCATTCCCGGCAGTTGGGAAGTAGAGACAGGGGGCTCAGGAGTTCAAGGCCATCCTCAGCTACATAATGGGTCTGAGGTCAGTCAGACTGAACTATGAGACTCTGTCTCAAAAAAAAGAAAGATAGCTGTATGTTGATGGTACATGCCTTTAATCCCAGCACTCGGGAGGCAGAGGCTGGTGGATCTCTGTGAGTCTAAGGTCAGCCTGGTCTACAGATCAAATTCCAAGACAGGCTCCAAAACAATACAGAGAAACCCTGTCTTGAAAAAGAAAGGAAGGAAGGAAGGAAGAAAGATAGGGAGAGAGGGAGAGAGGGAGAGAGGGAGGGAGAAAGGGAGGGAGAGTGGGGAGAAGGAAGAGGGAGAGGGCAGCAATATTTGGTGGAGAAGGAACCATTTGCATGGTCCTTACTCTACAATGCAAAGGTGTAACTTTATTGATGACAACTTTATCTTTGCTCTTGAGTATTTTTTAATGATAGAGAAAAAAATCTTCATATAAAATACCAGATCTTTTAAACTCCATGGGTCTAAGGGAACCACACTCAGCTTTTGTGGGGGTGGTGAAAGACCCCCAAGAGACCCCAAGAGTTTGGAGCCTGTCAGGGGGAAGGCCCTTGCCCCCAAGAGACGAGACCAGACCACTAGATGCAAGTGCAAGAGGTTATTTATTGTTTACACAGGTACCTGTGGACACTTCAGTCTTTCGGGGGACTGAGCGTGCCGAGGTTAAAACTCAGGCAGTTTATATAGGGTTGGGGTGGCAAGAAGCAGGCTTACAGAAGCAGAAGCATGGTTACAGGGATTTCATTGTTTCATCTAAATGTAGCAGTTGTAGTTAACCAAGGACAGTTGGTTATTTGGGTTGGGCACAAAGAATACAAAGAATTCAGTTATGACTCTCTCAGCTTCCCAGATACCATCCTGCTGACCTTGCTTTGGTCCAAGCTGCAGACCACAGATATCTGGTTGGTGTTGGATGAGAGCAGCACCTGGTTCCCTCCTGTACTTTTCTCATAACTTGACCTTGGCAAATTAGCAAGAGCAATTTAAACAGGCAATAAGCATAGTGGGGGTCTTTCAGTGGTATGTCCTATCCTAGTATCACAAGGGAGTAACCCATCCATGTATAAGTGTGACAGTGCCATGCAGATGATGGTCACCCTCCTCATCTCTTCTGGCTGCTGACCCTTCAAGATTCAGCCCACATTCCAGCTGGCCCCTCCTGGGAAGTTGGCAGCAGGAACTCTATGGTTTCACTCTCCAAGAGATCCTGCTCTTGTCCTTCCTCCCATCTCATTCTTCTGTCTTTCTTCATGTTACCAGGACCCCATCTATCCCCATCTTATCAATATATGGCAATGAAGAAAAGTTATGGTCCCAATTTTTCTTCTTCTTTACTGTTAGGTTTTTATTTTGAGTGACATCTGCTGTCTGGGGCTGAACATGGTAGTGCACACCTGTAATCTTAGCACTTGAAAGTTCAAGGCTAGCCTTGGCTACACAGTGAACTCGAAGGTTCAAGATGAGTGTGGGCTACATGAGATCCTGTCTCAAAATGAAGCTCTTTTATTTCACTCATTTGGGGAAAACAACACAGCCATTAGATAGAACTATATCACAGATAAATACTTGTAAGAGATGATGAGTTCCAGTAATTTGCCCAAGATCACAAAGCTAATAAGTGATAAAGACAAGATTTGACCACTGTGAATGGCATATGCGTGTGATCCCAGCACTCAAAATAGAGATAGAGGACCAGGAATTCAAGGTCGTTCTTCACTGCACAGTAAGCTTGAGGCCTGCCTGGGCTATATGAGACCCTATCTCAAAAAACAAACAAACATAAAGGATTTAAAACTAAAGCCATCTGACTCGAAAGCTGCAGGACTTCTATTTGACAATAACCTGTTATTTTTGTGTGTGTTGTTTCAGATTCGATGAAAATGGCTTTGTTAAATTAGTTGAAGCAAATTTTATCGTGTGGGAAATCCATGGCAGGGATGACTATACCTTTAATTATACTATGAAGCAGGTATGATGTCTTTGAATTTAAACAGAACTTAGCATGCAATTAAACATATTCTTTTGATTTTCAATTTATATGTAAATTATTTAAGGGAAGTGAAACCAAGACAAAATAAGTAAAAGAGAACATCAACTCTATATTAAAGCCAATGACTACTGAGATTCATCTCTGAAAAAAAGAGTTGTCCTATAAAACAGCCAGAGGAAAGGTCAAAAAATTAAAATAATATAACAGCAGGATGATGCAATTACATATGAGTACTTTCTTTTCTGTCCAAACTGTGTTTCACGTTTAATTATTTGGCTTTAAGACATTGGTCCTAAATCAAATGGATGCTCTTAGCATCTTTCTCCATGCTTTTGCATCATTTGACACTACTGACCTCAGCTTCAGTGTCTCAGCCCTCTCCTCATGCCCTTCTATCCTCCAAAACCAGCTGACTTCAGCCTCCTGGATGATCCCCCTATTCTGCCTTTTGCAATCACTTTTCCCATGCCCTGTGGGCTTCTTTGTCTTGGAGGCTTCCCATGGATATAGAGTCTTCTACAAGTTGACAGCATTGATTTCCTAAGATTCCCTTAAGATCTCAGGCTCAAAGAAAACCAGAGTGACTCCTTTCTATGTGACATTATTTTTCTCATTAGAGATTAATTATCTGAGATATACCACCCACCTAGATGGCAACTAGGAAAACTGAATTACACTGGACCACTGTGAGAACTCAGTCTTTCAATTATATAACCAAGTAAATCCATTCTGCCACACATTCCCCTGGGCTTGTTCAGCATCCAATATGGAAGACCTTGTTCTTCTACTTCTCCCCCATTGATGCATCACTAAACTACACGTGTGCTTGTACATTTATATGAGGGTACACATGAGTACATGTGTGTGGAAGCCAGAGTACAACTCTTTCATCCATTGCATAGAAGCATTACTGAGGGGAAAAAATGTAAACAAAGACTACACTTCCCAGACCCATTTGTGTGGACCCATTGAAAGACCCCCAAGAGACCACAGATATCTGGTTGGTGTTGGATGAGAGCAGCACCTTGTTCCCTCCTGTACTTTTTTCATAACTTGACCTTGGCAAATTAGCAAGACCCATTCAAACAGGCAATAAACATAGTGGGGGTCTTTCACCATGACTGGTTCTCATGACTGCAGTGTGAACAGAAAGTCTATCTATCACCCTCCCATGGACCTCCATAATTCCTGTCACATTAGCACATTAGCAGCAGCTGTGAATGGACTAGACAAGAACTGAAAGAAATACTCCAAAGGAGGAACTTCAAGGAGCCACCATGTAAATGTCTGGCCTCCTAATTCATGCTTCAAGGAGACCATTCACAAGAAATGTGTAACCAGGGAGAACTGAGTTAGGTTTTATATAATCCAGAAGGAAACTTTTGATGGGGTGTGATGGGACACACCTGCAATCCCAACACTTGGGAGATGGAGAAAGGAAGACCAATTCAAAGTCATGTGTAGCTATTTATCAAGTTATAGGCTAGCCGGGGATATTTCTGTCTCAAACAAACAAGTCATTTTGTTTCAGTGGTAGAGTTCTAGGTTAGATTCTTAACATCACAAGGTAGGTGTGGTGGTGCACACCTTTAATCACAGCACTCAGGGAGGCAGAGGAAGGTGGATCTCTGAGTTCAAGGCCAGCCTGGTCTACAGAGCTAGTTCCAGGACAGCCAGGGTTACACAGAGAAACCTTGTCTCAGAAAAAAAAAAAAAAAAATGAACCAAACAAACATACAAAAAAGATTACTAACATCACAATATCACAACACAAATAATCAGACTTGGCCCACATCCACACATGTGAACAATACAGAGACCTTGGATATCACAGCTTCTATTAGACTTGGATGTAATTCAGACATCTCAGCTCACCCACAGTGCTGCAGCCCTCTCGTCAATCCTGCTCCTCCTTGACTTGCTTGTCCTCACATAGCTGAGACACTTATCGTGTTGAACCCTTTGCTTCTCCCTCTTTATCATTACCAGTTTTCTTCCCTTCTTTGCCTGTCCAGCATAAACTCCATAGTTTATTCTGTCACTGACTCTCTTCCCCGGTGTAATTCTTGTATGCGATCATGGCAACTGTAACGATCATCTTTCTTTTGCCCTGCCCATGCCTGTATCTGTGCTGCTGGCCACACAAACAGAGGACATATATGACAATACCTGAAACTAGGATAGCTAGATCATTCGACTAAAAGAGATTTCAGTACAATAACTTACAACAAATAGTGCTGGGTAAACTGATACACACACACACACACACACACAGTGTTGGGGTTAGAGATGGCTCAGTGGTTTAGAGTGCTGGCTGCTCTCAAAGAGGAGTCCAGATCCCAACTCTTATGGCTGCTGTGGGCATTGCATATACATGGTGCACAGACATACATTCAAGCGACACTAATACGCATTAAAAAAAATAAAATAAAATGGGGCTCTCAACATCATGTTCAGACAGTAATTCAAAGTGGATCTATGATCTAAATTTAAGACCCCAAACTCTAAATTCTTAAAAGAAAATGAAAGACAAAATCATCCCTACATTGGTTTGGGCAATGATTTATTGACTATGATATCAAGTCACAGATGAAAGAAAGCGAGGAAAAGAAAAGAAGAGGGGGAGGGAGAGGAAAAGAGAAAAGAGGGAAAGAGAGAAAAGGAAAGAAAAGAAATGGGAGAGGGAGAGAGAAGAAGGGAGGAAAAAAGAGAGAAGGGGAAGAGAAGGGATGACAAAGTAGATGTCATGAAAATCTAAAAACTGTGTGCATCAAAAGACACAAGAGTAGAAAGACAACTCATGTAACGGAACTAAGTATATGCAGATCATACATTTGATAGGAAAATATCTAGAATGTACAGAAAACTCCCATAATTTAACAACAAAACACCCCAATCAAAGGGGGGCAAAGGACTTGAATAAATATTTCTCCAATAAAAATGTACAAATGTCTAGTTGACATGTGAAAACATTCAGGAAACCTATAAAATCTACAGCGAGATATTATTTCACATACACTAGCATGGCAAGAATAAAAACAAATAATAAGTATTAGTGAAGGAGGAGAAATGAGGACATAGTCGTTGTTGTTGGGGTGTAAAGGGCACCTCCATGCTGGAAAGCATAAAGCAGCAAATGAGAAATTCAAGGCACAATTGCCAGTTCTCATCGCCCATACCTGTATGCTCAAAGGAGTGGAAAGAATGTTCTCTAGGATGTATTTGTACACCCGTGTTCACAATAGCCAAAGCTGTAGGGAAAGGAAGAGAGAGGAATCTTGTGTAAAAGCCATCAAATGGTGAAGGGATAAGACTCTAATGTGTGGGAATGCACTGTCTGCACTGAGGAAACTCAGAAGAACTGTAAGGAATGATGCCTAGAAAAGCCAAGACAGTGATTACTTGGAGGAATGGGGACACTGCGGAGACTTTCAGAGAAGCTAAGAAGCTTGTAGGGTTCCAGGAAACATTCCAGGTTGTCTTTTAAAACCAGGAGTAGAAGGGTTGTTGTTGTTGTGTGTGTTTGTTTTGGTATCTAGGTTTTGTTTTGTTGTTTTTCAGGTTAAAGGGGGTTTAAAATAAAAGGAAGAGATTTGTGCTATAGAAAATAGTCTGATAATTCTTCATAAAATTCTACCAAATTCTCATATGCTCTAACAATTCTAGTTTCACAAGAAGGCTCAAGGGGTACAGAAGCTTTCCATCAAGCCTAACAACCTGAATCCAGTCCCCCAAGACCCATGCAGTGGAAGGAAGGAACCTCCAAGTTGTTTGACCTCTAGCATCCACATCCACTCTACAGTATGAGCTTTCTCTCTCTCTCTCCTCTCTCTCTCTCTCTCTCTCTCTCTTTCTCATACACACACATACACACACACACACAATTTTTAAAAAAGAATTAAAAGCAAAGACTCAGATATGTATATACCAATGCTCTGTGAGCACTCTGCATGATAAAAAAAATTATGAAATAAAAACCATCAACAGAGGAACTAATGGGATTGTGGCCTAGCTGTAAAAAGGAAGGAAATTAGGAAGTGCTCACATGATATATGTCATACCATGAATGGGCCATGAGGACACTGTGCTAAATGAAACAAAGTTGTAGGCAAATGCCTACATTAGTTAAAAAAAAAAAAAATCTCAGCAGAAAGTAGAATTTGGTTGCCATGATGCCATGAGCTACAGGGAGAAAGAAGTGAGGATTTGTTCAACTCATTGCTGGCAGTAGGTGTAGCTACACACTGTGAATAGACCTGATGCCACTGAATTGAACTTTTTCAGTGCTTAAAACTGCATTGTATTTAAGTAGTGAAAAAACTGTACTTTACTTTGAAAGTTTTTAAAGAGACAACTTTTTCAGTGGTATCAAGATACATTAGATGCTCCAAATACACTAGCATTATGAAGCCTTCTCCATGATCACATGCTGCCATCTTTCGGCAGAGTGGCTGTATAAATGAAGCACAGACGTTGAAGGCCATGATGGAAGAAAACCAAGGCCTCCCACTGGATGATGTCTGGGGACCTCAGGTAAGAAAAGCACAAAGGTTGCTCCTACCACAGGGCATCACAGTATGTTAACTCAACCCTGCAACCAGAGACCATTTCTTTCTGGAACATACAATGAGTCAGACAGCCTCTAATTCTCAGAGCTGCACTGACTGTGGATGAGTGGCATGTGCATCTGAGAAGCTGTAGTTGGGACATTTTCATTGGGACCATCAGCTCCCCAATAATGAATGACATCATTAATTATGAAAGCTTAGGCAATAGCTCAGGTTTGCTTCTAACTAGCACTTATAACTTAAATTTACCCATTCCTGTTAATGTACTTTCTGCCTCATGGCTTTATTACCTCATCTCTGTAGTGCCCATCCTGCTCACTCTGCATCTCCTCGAATCTCTCGCATGCCTAAATTCCTCCTCCTACTCCTTCTGTCTCTGTCAGGAAGCCCTGCCTATACCTCCTGCTTAGCTATTGGTCATTTAGCTTTTTATTAAACCAATCACAGTGACACATCTTCACACAGTGCAAAGAAATATTCCACAACAAGAAGTAGCTCTAGGCACTGTAAGTTCTCAGAGAAAAATAATCTGAAAGACTCACAAGCAAAACTAACATTTTCGTAGGTTCTTCAAGTCAATGTTGAATAGATAGGGACAGCATAGGCCCTGCAGGGCTGGCTACTTTTCTGTGATATTGAATGGGGTCTGAATCTCTGAACATGACTGAGAATCCTGGACAAAGAAGCCCTTGGTTACAAAGGGAGTGAATTTGTGAGTCTAGGAGAGATTTGTTTTCTCAGACATTAAGTAGCTTGAGCAAGTAATGTTACAAATGAGAAGGAAAGGGGAGAAGATAATTGAATGTGATCCAACAATATGAAAGGAAACATCTAATGTGACACAGAAAGAGGAGCAATCCATGGGTAAGTGTAGTCCCTTGTATTAAGAATGAACAAAGAGGGGGCTGGAGAGATGGCTCAGAGATTAAGAGCACTGGCTGTTCTTCCAGAGGTCCTGAGTTCAATTCCCAGCAACCACATGGTGGCTTACAACCATCTGCAATGATATCTGGTGCCCTCTTCTGGCATGCAGGCAGGAAGAACACTGTATACATAATAATAAATAGCCCTTTAAAAAGGAAGAAAGAGGAAGTAAATTAGAAATAATAAAAATAGTCCTGTGTCTATATATTATAATACACACAATGATGCAGGCAAACAGGTCCTGATGGCCAGGACCCTTTTGTGATGATGAGCAGATACCCAGTTCCCATACATAGTACAAATATCTCATATTCTTTTAATCAAATTCATGGCTCCATGTCTTAAACAACTCAGTAGTCAAGAACTCCCATAGTCCAGAAAAAAACTTTGTATTTCCTTTCTTTCTTTCTTTCTTTCTTTCTTTCTTCCTTTCTTCCTTTTGAAGCAGGGTCTCTCTACAGAGCCCTGGCTATCTGGGAACCCACTATATAGACCAGGCTGACCTCAAACTCAGATACACCTGCCTCTGCCTCTCAAGTGCAAGAATTAAAGTATTTGCCACCATGCTCAGCATATGTTGCATTTTCAATTTAATTTACATAAAAACTATGAACATTTTATTTGTTCTTCACTCATATATACCCTACATACTGTTTTATGATTGTGTCAGGAATGTAGTGACAGAAAGGTAAATAGAGGTGAGAAATGGTAGGAGATGTGGATTTTTACTGTTTCATCGTGATGTATAGTTATACTTCATTTGATTGAATACATATGCTTCATATGAAATTATAGCATAACTCACCTCCAATACTCAGTATATTGATTATAGACTATACCTATGGTAGTTCTAGATTAAAAGACCTCAAAAATGTAGGGGCAATAAAGAAATCAAAAAATAAATACCATCAAATAATCCAGTGCTATTTTGAAACATCTATAGACAAAATTTGGCTGCAATAAACATCCATGATATGGAAATAAGTATATGATCTAGGACAGATGGAAGTGCAAATTTCTAGACCCAAAAAAACTTGCCAGGTGGTACAGTTGTAGGTAACAATCATTCTAAGTGAGTGAAAATCCCATCCATTCCTAGATGAGCCCAGTAGTCTCACTCAAAGATCTATCTTACCCACACAGGGTTAAGACCTACCTTGCACAAGGCTAAGCTGGATCTGCCTTGCTACTATAACTATATCCATAGCAAACATATACCTTTATAGCCTTAACCCCCTTGAAAAATTAACCCTCATCTGTGTCCAATGAGACTCCTGTTCCCACATTCCTACTTGACATCCTGGTCTTTCACCAAACTAAGGATATCTTGGTTTGTGTGAAGCATCCCCTTAGAACTTCCTCCTTGGACCATGGGTGAGGGCTGGTAGGGGATACGCCAGGCATTCTTTAGTACTGCAGTGGTAGAATAGAAAGGGATAGCCATTGCATCTCTTAATGACTTTCCTACTAGATATGAGAATCTGGGCTGGATGGAATGGTCAGTAGGTAGGAGCACTGGCTGCTCTTGCAGAGGACCTGGTTTTGGTTCCCAGAATCCACAAGGCAGCTCACAAGCATCTGTAACTCCAGGTCCTGGGGTTCTGATGTCCTCTTCTAACCTACACAGGTAGTGGTTGTAGGTGGTATACTAACATGCAGGCAAAAATACTCATACACATAAAATTAAAATAAATAAATTTCATATGTAGAAATCGGATTTTGTTAGAGTCAGGAAATAACCTCTTTTTCAGGAATAACCTCTTTTTTATCTTTGCTTCTTGCCCAGAACTATAAGCCTTGTTTTTCTTATGCTATTGGGAAGCCAGGAGATCTAAACCAACCATATGAGATTTTAAACAGGTCTAATAAAAACCATTTACAATGGCCCATGGACCATTCTGGAATGTATGTATTTCGTGTGAAGATCCTGGATCCAAACTTTAGGTGAGAATGAATGTTTCATGACATTTCCCCTTAAAATTAATTATATTTTTCTTTAATTTTATGCCAACCAAACATCTAATTTTTGTTATTCTTATTATTTATGTTTGTTTTTCATTTTGTAGTAATCATAGAAACTACTCTATGAAAGCAGGAGATATTGTGTCAACTGTTAATTGGATCACTTGGTTTGAAATTCCATTCTGGTATTGTGTTCCCTTAACACACATATTGGTTATTTTTCACAATGGCATTCCCAAACACCAGACAAGAAGCACATAAAGGAGAAAGGATGTGTTTTGGCAAAATCTATCCTGGCAATAATGGCATGAGAGTGAGGCGAACAGTCAGCAGTTGCAGTCAGGAAACACAGAGCAATGGGTTTCCGGCTTGGCTCACTTTTCCCATGTACCCCAGCCCATGCAATTGTACCAGCCATGTTTAATGCGGGTCTTCCTCAGTCAGGCATTTCTGGAAGCACCCTCCTAGATATTCCCAGAGGTGTGTTTCCATGGTGATTCTAAATTCAGTCAGGCTGACAATGAAGATTAACCATCACACCCCACCATGTACGAGGCCCTGAGTTCATCATACCACTGTAAGAAAACAGAAGCCCATAAGGCCATGTGCTTAGCCCTGGGAGACAGATGTATACAACACAATGTGGACTGTATCAATTAGTAATGACTGAATGGGAGTCTAGTGATGTGGCACTATCTTTTGAGTTCTATGGGCTTTCCTGCCTAAAGAGAAGAGGTACAGCACTTTGAAATTGTGAAATGTCACAATACATTTCTTCCCTCCCACTCCCTGGCATACAAACACTATTCATTCTTCACAATAATCTGTCTTTTGGTGTGCTAATAAGTTCATTAATGACTGGCAGCACTTAGGTAGTTTTGAATGCTTACTGTTCAATGGAAAGACCAAAGGATAATTAAGAGAATTATGACTCTCAGTCCTACATCCATAAGCCTCCTGTTATTCCCAAGGAGGCTGGGAGCTCCTAAGATCAACAGAGAGGATTTCCTTCAGATGTTCTGAGTGCCCCATATTTCCCTCCCTGCCCACAGGAAAGAAAATGCTTCCTTCCAAGCAAGGGAGCAACCTCAGGGAACCGCTCCAGTTCAAAGGCAGGTTATACAATGCACTGGCAATGGGCAGGCTAAAGGGTGCTGTGGTAGCAGAAGGGGGCTCTTTCCAATGTCAAGAGAAAATATGGACACTTTCCCATGGCTTCCATTATGTGCCTCTTGAGAGGAAACTAGACTTTGTCAGGCACGGCAGTACTAACTAGCCTGGCATCCCAGCTACTCTGCAGGCTGAGTCCACTAGATCCTATTGATCCCAGGAATTCAAGACCAGTCTGGATAAGATTCTCAAAATAACAAATAAATATATAAATTAATAAGGAAATTAGGCTTGGGTCATTATATAGGAACCACCCTGCTACTTAAGAGTAACATAATCTCAAATGAAAAGGAGTATGTGTGAAAATAGCAAGGAGTCCAGAATTTGAGAAATGGTTGGTAAGTGAGCAAATAGAGAAAGTATTGCCTGAATCCTGGAAGGACATGGGAGACCTGTTATGAGATGGAGTGTGTAACACACCCAGTCCATGTTATGGGTGCTGAGTGCTAATATTTAGGCACTCAGTACATGAGACTCTCAGCCATGGAAATGGCCATGTACATTTTTAACATATTTTTATTCACTTTAATTAATTTCATACACCTGCATATGATGGATTTTGATCCATCCATTTGCCCTTCATTCCCCCCTCTGACTCCTTCCAGGTCCAGCATGCCCCCACACATGGGCCATGTGTTTTTCTTTTTTCTTAAATGGTCCACAGGTTGTGGGGCTATCCACTGCACTGTAGTTAACCTATCAGGTGCCATACCAGTAAAGAAAACTGGCTGTCCTTCCCTCAGAAGCCATCAACTGTCAATGGTTCCTTTGACCCCTGCCTCTCTGTATAGTGAAATGTTGATGGGTTTGATTTGCACAGATCTTGTTTTGGCAACCACTGCTGCTCTGAGTTCTTGAGTGCAGCAGTCCTGTTACATCTACAAAATACTGTTTGACTACTGTACTTCCTGTCCATTGACCCCCCCCCTCTTTTCCTCAACAGTCCCTGGGTTTGACAAGAAGGAGTATGCTATAGATATCCTGTTTGTGGATAAGCACCCCACAGACACTTACTTTCTGTACTTTGACCAGTAATAAATTCTTTATTAGCTGCCAACCACTGCACAAAGAAACATCTCTGACTGGGTCTGAGGGCCAAATTTAGCAGATACTATGTCCATTTAGCAAAATAACAATAATAAGTCTATGAGCTTCCCAACCTTGGGTTCTTGGCTAGACTTACAGTACCAGTCAGCATTTCCTCTTGTGGCATAAGCCTGAAACTACAAAGGGACCATTAATGGGGATGGTGGGTTGAACTATCTTAATGAGAGTGGGATAGCAGAACCCAGGTGATATGAATGAAGAAAAGAGAAGGCATTTTAAGTAGAGCAAGGGACAGAAAGATAGGCCTAGAAAGAAGTGGAAAAAGCAACAATACTTGAAAAAGCCATATAGAAACCTACTACTTTATAAGCTTCACACACACACACACACACACACACACACACACACACACAAGTTTAATTGGAATTGCCCTACTCAAGGTATAATGTTCCTCCCAGAAGCCATAGGTTTGTGAATAAAAAGCCCAGTGCTAGGTGTGGAATACTTCTCCTTGAATTGTTGGTCTGGAATATCCTAGAGACCCCAAATGAATATGACCTATTTCCATTGATTTTGTGGCCCATAACTGGATAGTTAGATGCTAAAGCTGAAGACGCCACACCTTGGTGACAGGACACAGAAATCAAATTGGTACTGACCAAGAATCTTCCTCCCTTTGGATGACTCTCATATTAATTGAAGTTGATATACAGGCTGCTTGTGGGAAAGCCTGAGCCAACTGTGAACCCCATGAGATGCAACAACTAGTATGGCAAGATATGTCCATGGGTGGTATAATAGTGGCATGAATGTTACTGCAACTAGCTACATAAAATTTTGATCTTCTATTCTACATGTGCCCCACCCTGGAAAGTGTGAAAATAGAAAGTAGAAAAATAAGCCTAGTGATATAAAAGAGAATGACAGCCAGACTGGCAAACAGAAAGATTGCATCAACCAACCTAGATCTGTGAACCATAGAACCCTCAGAGAAGATGTTGAGGATCTGTATCAGTCCTGACTCCAGATGACAAGGAAAATTAAACACTTCCCTAAGAATTGTAACTACAAGTAAACCCTCATTAGATTTGAGCATATATTTAGGTTAGAGCTAAGTGTTCACCAGAGATAGTACTACAGCTAAAACTTTAATTTGAAACAGTCCAAGTCTGTTTATGCCTCCCACATTCTCAGCGGAAACAAACAAATATCCCCTCTGGAGGAATTCACTTTCAATGTAAACATCCAAGAAATCTAGAAAGAAACATTCTAACAAACCACACAAGAAAAGAAGAAACCACAGACAAAAATAGACAAGGACCAATAGAAACAACTACCTATAAAACCAACCCACAAAGCCTCCCAATACTAGCCCTGTCAGATACAAATATGTATGCTTGTGTCTCAGTCCATGTTCAATTGCTGTGAAGAGACACAATGACCATGGCAACTCTTATAAAGGAAAGCATTTTAATTGGGGCTGGCTTACAGTTTTGAAGGTTTAGTCCATTATCATAATGATGGGATCATGGGAACCAGTTCCCATGTGCTAGAGAAGGAGCTGAGAGTTCTACATCCAGGTCTGCAGGTAGAAGGAGAAAGTAAGCTTTTGGGCCTGGCTTGGGTTTCTAAAAACCTCAAAGCGCATCGGCAGTGACACCTCCTCCAATAAGGCCACACCCCCTAATCCTTTCAAATAATGCCACTCACTCTCTGGTGACCAACTATTCAAATCTATGAGCCTATTCTTATTCAAACCATCACAGTTTGAATGTTATTTTTTTTTTTAAAGAAAAGGTTTTGATGGTTTAATGAAAGAATAAGAAAATATCAGTCTAGTTTTCCACCAATAGATGGATTAAGAAATAAATATGAATATATATGCCATCGTTTTATTCAGTTTTAAAATATCATTTTCAGAAAAAAATGGAGGGAACTAAAGATCTTCATGCTGTGTAAAATAAACTAGACTGAGAAAGACAAATGGTGCATGTTTCCTCTTATAGGTAAAACCTAGATAAAAAAAGACATAAAAGTAGTACTATTTGGGGTGAGGAAGGGTACCAATGGGGAACAGGGAGCAGGACAGAGAGAGCAATGAGGGATCACTATGATGGAAATTCACGGTATTCATGGATGAAAACTGTCATGCTGAAAAGTATGATCTTGTACAATGAATGCAAGATAATTTTATTAATAAAAATAAAAAAATAAAGGACTAAATGAGGCTGAAGAGAAAAAAATGAGTGAACTTAAATAACTAAACAAATATCCATTGCAGTTCATATCATCATTTCCTTGTCTCAAACCTCTCAACTTTGGAAGTTCTCTTATGATAAAATAATTATACTTAAGTAATAGAAGTACACTTACCCTACAAAGTGGAACAGGTCAGTCTTATTGCATCTAGTGCGAGGTCCAAATTCTCAAAAGAATATTTGTTCCTCCTTTAATTTTATCATGATCTTAACTTCATATTCTGTACTATGTACCATCAATTCACCTAATATATGTAATATATTATCAGGAGAAATGGAAAAAAGTGAAAAGTCAAAGTTAGCTCAAATAGAAGTAATATAAAAATAGACAGAGATACTAAAGTTATTGTTTGTTTGAGATAGAGTTTCTCTGTGTACTGATTCCTGGCTATCTTGGATCTTGCTATGTAGAACAGACTGGCCTTGAACTCACAGAGATCTTCCTCTCTGTATCCCCAGTGCTGGGATTAAAGACATGGACCACCACACCTAGCTCCTCATCCTTATGTACTATATGTCTTTAACCAGCACCACATTTTGTATCCTGGCAGAAAATGTTTTTACTTCTTTGGAATCTGAGCTCTTGACATGTCCTACCCACATGTGCCTTCGTTATACATGAAAAACAGTGACTCCCAATTCCAGTGCCCTGATTCTCAAACTCACATACTCTGGCAGTGGGACTAAGAAACTCCTTGTTTTGGCACTGGCTTAGAGTACTACCTCATTGTAAGAACACTGCGGCTTCCTTGGTAACCTTTCATTCTGGCTTTATAGCTCTCATTATCATATAATTTATTATCAAAACCAGAGGCTCAAAAAGTAAATGAAGCTTTATTAGTATTTATATAAAAACAATGGGTGGATGTCAAAAATGTCCTAGGTCACCAGCAATAGAAGATTACCCTATTAATAATACAAAAGATGCCTTAAAAGGATATCCACTACTCTGGGAGACCAATGAGTTCCATGCATATCAGCCCTCTTGCCTTCTATTATTTGGTCAGAAGCAATCTTGTTGGGACATGATAAAAATGCATGGCACTCAGGGGAGCTCTGTCTAGTGCTTCAAGCAGAAGCTACACCAAAAAGGAGGCAAACTGAAGCCCAAGTATGTCACAGCAAGAAAGAATCACTGTCCTCTATGGGATAAAACAGCTACCAGCAGATAGCTGTCCAATGCCTCTAGATTAATGCACCTGTGTGGTGATTCAGACTGCCTGCTGCTGCTGCTGCTGCTGCTGCTGGGAAATTCAATGCTTAGTAGTGTCAGTATCCAGGTCAGCCTAGTAGATAGTGAAGCCACACCAGGCACCACAGCCATGCTATTCATGATCCCACTGAAGAAACACTTGGGTAGCTTGGGAAAGATGCTAACTACAGAGCCATCTCTCCAGCCCTGCAGAGATACATTTTTTTAGTGCTGTCATTAACAATTTCTTCTGGGTCCTGCCTGAAGGTGAATAAGAAACTCATATCTAAGAAATTTACCTCAACAGACCTCTTTAAGCAGTCTTTACATCTTGTCATGCACTGTTGATATTGTCAACTTGACAGGGTCTAGAATCACAGGAGATGAGTCTCTGGATGTGTCTGTGAGGAACATTTCTAGATTAGGTTGTGGTAGGGAAGACCCATCCTAAAAACATGGGTAGCATAATTCTGTGTGCTGGGGTACCCAACCAGATTTTAAAAAGAGAATGTGTGCTAAGCTCTGGCATTCATCACCTTCTGCTTCCTCACAAGGGTGCTGTGTGACAAGTTGTCAGGCCTTCCCCTCCATGGCAGCTCACACCCTGAACTATGTATGAGCCGCAGTAAACCCCTTCTTCTAGGTAACTATCAGGTATTTGATCATAGCAATGAGAAAAGGAAGACAGGTATCTACAATACCACAAACTTAATCTGATAGACACATTTTCTGAACACCTGCCCTGTCACTTTCTGAAAGAGGAATGTTAAAGTGATTAAAAGTAAAAACTTGTCAGCCAGGCCCTTTAATCCCAGCACTCAGGAGGCAGAGGCAGGCGGATCTCTGTGAGTCTGAGGACAGCCTGGTCTACAGAGCTAGTTCCAGGACAGCTGGGGGGCGTGCGGGGAGAGTACAGATTTGTCTATGTCTTTGTATTGTGAAGTTGGGGGGGGTGTTTTTTTTTTTGAGACAAGGCCTCATATGCAATTAAGGTTTGCCTAGAATTTCCAATCTCTTGCCTCAGCCTTCCAAATTATGTGCTTATATACATGTCCTAACATCATATGTCCATCTGTCACTAGTCAGTGACCCCCTTCCAGTGACCCCTTTCTTCCTTTTTTTTTTTTTTTTTGAGACAGGGTTTCTTCTCTGGGTAGTTTTGGCTGTCCTGGAATTCTGTAGACCAACTGGCCTCGAACTCAGAGATCTCTCTACCTCTGCTCCCCCAACCCCAAGTGATGGAATTAAAGGCATGCACCACTACTACCCAACAGTGACACCTTCCAAGTTCTAATCACACAAAGAAAAATTCAGAATTAAACAAATTGCTAATTTGTTCATAAGTGCTCAATAATCCCTATCTTTATAGTATTCTGAGAAGGATATTAAGTGCCTGGGTAAAAAGCCCCAACTTTACACACTGCATACCACCTGGCATGTCGTAAATGCTCATTCAGCACCCATCTTCAGTGAACATAGAGCTCAGTATGCAATGGTTAACTATGTAGTACTTTTGAAGATGCTTATGATTGCTCATTATTATTAATGTCATTATGACCGTTGCCTTGGAAACTACCACCCAAAGTGTGTAATGCTGTGAGGACAGCATGGTTATCTAGCCTAAAGATGCATCAATGGAAAAACCAACACAACTTTTCTGTAAGTGCATCTATCTATCGTGTCTTTGTCAAAAAAAAAAAAGACATATTAATAAAGCTAATATGATCTGACTGTTACCATAGAAATGCAGAGGTTATTTTAAATACATTCAGCTTAACCTTTAATATCACTTTTTCTAATTTGCAGTTTCTGTAACCTAACAGCTATTTTTGCGATTGAGACCTTCGGAGTGATTCCCCGGTAATGAGCAGTACCTGATAATGCTGCAGTTTTTATGTATTTGCTTGTTTTAGCTTTATTCTGTTTCCTGGCTTTACCCAGGCTGGCCTAGAACCCATGAATTTCCCATCTCAGCACAATGCCTAGCAGAGAGAAGTTATGCTGATCAAGGTTCAAGAAACAACCATTTGCTTGGCCCTGGGGGGTGGGGAGGATCACACTAAGATAGCTGCAGGCCCAGAGAAACTGTAAAACTACAACTTAGTGTTCTAGTCAGACATTGAAGCCTCAAATAGAAAACTGAAGAAAGCTGAAGGGCCCCCAGCAGAGAGTAGCTTCCAACACACACACACACACACACACACACACACACACACCTGTGCTCTCACAAATACACTCACATATCTACCCACACACTCACACATATGCTGTCACACACATTCACAAATGCTGCCCAGCCACATAATCAGGCCCTGAGCCAGTAAGGGTAGCAGGCCTTACTCTGTAGCCAGAGGCGAGAGGATCATTTGAGCCCAGGAGTTCCAGGCCGGTCTGGAAGCACACTAAGGTCGGCCCTCCTTGTGTGTCTCCTTCCCTTTGAATTTACTGTCAGTGAGTAGTGTCACCATCCTCATGGTGACTGTCCCCACACTTGGTAGTTCTCTTTATTCCTTCTCATTCCTGAAATGGCACATCTTAACAATTGCTGAGACAAACCCTGTCTAACCTTTAAATATATCTTGGACCTGACCACTTCTCTCCATTTCTTCACCCACATCATCACTTAACACTTAAAACTGTTTCACATGCCCTTTGCTGTTCATTCCTCACATTCGGCCAGGATCATCTTTTACAGTTCACACCCATGGACCCCGCCTCTTGCCTCCTGCCCAAACTCCATACTCTCTACTTACTGTAACCTTTTTCTTATCCGACACTTGCCCACCTATTTTTTTTCCCCCTCAGCAAACCCAGACCTCATTCCTGGTAGACAAAGGGCTCTAGCATTGAACCACACCCCCAACACTTGGTCCCTGTCACTCCTGATTTCTAACCACATTGTCTGACTTTTGAGTGCTAGTCACACAGAACTAGGCTCCACTCCAGAATGTCCTGGAAGGACCTCAAGGTTTCTTCATGTTTCCACGGCATCTTCTCCATGCACATACATCTCTCTTTGCCTAAAACACTGTTTAGCCACAGTCACTTTCTCCACTGCCAGGCATCACTAGCTGACTCCTACCCACACTGGGGTGTCTCCTCTGCACCAGTCCGCAGAGCTCCTTCATGCACCCTTCTCCTGACCATCACACTGTTCTTCCTAATAAACCTCAAACATATAACCACCTTGAGGACTGATGCTAGGTCTTATCACTCTGTTTTGTGTGACCATCAGGGGAGCTAGCCGTTCTAAGACAGCTTGATTGAGTAAATTAACAGGCAGAGTGTGAATAATGGCTTCTGACAGCTTCCTTCTTGTTGTTTTTATTCTAGCCCAAGTTTCTACCTGGTAGCTGCCTTGATTTTCATCTTGATGCTCACATTCATCAGCATTCTAGTTCTGAGCTATTTCTGGTATATGAAGATTTATAGACAGTTTATTTTTGAGCCACTTCACAAGCCTCCTGCAAAACAGAAGAAACATTAGGAAAACTGAGTTAATTCTGGATGGATGGATAGATAGATAGATAGATAGATAGATAGATAGGCAGATGATAGACAGATAATGTACATATATGTAATTATATTAAGAACGTGTGTTTGGCTAAGAAGCATTAAATAAAAACTCATACTATTATTAAATTCAAGATCTGAAAAATGTTCTTAAATTATTCTCCCAAATAACATATATTACTGCATTTGTTATTGATTTTATTCATTTTAAAGATAGCATATACACTGTTACATTGCATTTTAAAAGTAAAAAATAAAAAGCCAGGTGGTAGTGGCAATAGTGCACGTCTTTAATCCCAGCAGAGGGAAGGCAGAGGCAGGTGGATCTCTGTGAGCTCCAGGACAGCCAGAGAAACCCTGTCTCAAAAAATCAAAAGAAAAAAAAATAGAAAAGGAAAAGAAAGAAAAAAGTAGACAGCTCTCCCAAAGGAGCTGGATTTGACTCCCAGCATCCACATGGTGACACACAGTGACTACTGATTCTGACACCCTCTTCTGGCCTCTAAGAGTACTGCATGAACATGGTATACAGACAAAACACCTGTACACATAAAAGGAAAATAAATAAAAGGATTTTTTTTAAAAGGCCTAACCCCATTTCTCAGGAGAGAGGCAGAGCAAGTTGATGGGGAGTTTAAAGTCAGCCTGGGCTACATAGTGAAACTCTTCTAAGAAAGAAAGGAAGAAAGAAAGGAAGAGGGGAGAAGGAGAGAGGGAGGGAGAGAGGGAGGGAGGGAAGGAAGGAGGGAGGGAGAGAGAGAGGGAAGAAGGGAGGGAGGGAGGGAAAGAGGGAGGGAGGGAAGGAAGGCGAAGAAAGGAAGATGGCAGGCAGGCAGTACCCTAGGGCAGTTGATTGACGCTATCACTTCATCCAGATATGGAGTAGTAGTGACAATATGATCAACTGTTATCAAAGACTTTGTCAATCACTTTCCTTTCCATCTCAACAAACTGGTAGTTACTTCTGGCCTAGCAAGTTACCCCAAAACTGAAGACAAACAATACCCCTTGAGTTTTCCAGCTATGCTATCTCTTCAGGTAGCTGGTGATTATTAAATGGAAAATGGACTATCCCAAGATCTACTAGTGAAACTGTGTGCTATTCTTCAATACTGGCTACAAATTCAATTGGAGCAGTCAGTGTGGTAAGCTAATAGCAATTGATCTGCCAGAGAATGAGTGCCATAGAGAGTCAGAGAGGAGCAGATGACCTCCCAGACTGATCAGAAAAGACACCAGTAATTTGGAAAACATAAGTCATTGTCCTTTTAGGCTACTACCTCAGTGGAGGTGACAGAATGGTACTTAAATGTAAACAAACATCTGTAAATCAGGATCTGAGAAAGGAGAAATTTGTTTGGGCAGAGTTTGAGAAGGTGCAGTCCATATGACCGGGAAGGCACCGTTAGTAGTGGAGGGGGGGGGGGTGGCCACTGTTCCCATCTCAGCACACCAGGAAACAAAGAAATTGATATGAAAGTGGAACCAGGCTGTAACCCTGAAAACCTGACTTCCAGAAATTCACTAACTCCAGCAAGGCTTTTTCTAATAAAGGTTCCATGGCACTCCAAAACCAGCTAGAGACCAAATATTCAAACTCATGATTGTGTGGGAGGATATTTCCCAATCAAACCATAACACCATCTGAGTTAGTCAAGGGGACCCTGCTTTCTGATGCTCATACACTTACGTAGTTGCTCCCTTCACCTTTCAGACTTAGCATAAGCAACGGAATAAGACAGAATTGATGCCTGGCTATTTCTGATGTGGGGCTTCCTACTCTGTCATGTCCCTGCTCTCTCCTACATCAGTTGTCCTAGGATAAGTAGCTACTGTTGTGTGACACTTGGATTGTGTTCTGAAAATAAAAGCTTACTTGCAGTCAGATGGCAGAGCTATCCACAAGCTAACCATAGAGGGTTGGAGGACTGTAGAGAGAGGACACAGGAAATAGTAAGGTGGGGTGGAGAAAGGATCATGGCCTTTTTGGATGAAGGAACCATCTAATCTTCTAGGTTCTTACCCCAATATTTGACTCCTGATTTTTTTAATTGATAAAGATTGATTAGATTAACACTTTACCTGTCATGTAGTTTGGGGCATGAATTCACAAGACAGCCAGCCACTTGCGCTGTACCCACCAGAGCCTCTGCAGCACCAGCTGGCTTTTCCTTTCTTTCTCCAAGCTAGTCTCCACAAACGCCAAACTCCACAGGTGTCTGAGTTCCAAACACCACCAGAGTTAACCCCCCACCAGCCAGCTCTGCCTCCTCCCCCCCCCTCGCCCGCCAGCCCAGGCAGCTCTGCCTGCCCACCCACCCCCACCAGCCCAGGCAGCTCTGCCTGCACGCCCCTCTGTGCTTTCACCTCCGCTTGTCACAAGTGATACGTTTGCAAGCTCCCCCATGCCTGTCTTTCAGACCACTGGCATTTTGGCTCCTTTTCCCAGTGGGTTGTGGTCTTCCCCACCACCCTCTCTTCACGCTGCTGACACGAAATCAGCAGCAGCTGTCCTTAGCCAGGCTGTGCCCCGCCTGTGCTCTATGCCCAGATGTTCTGCTACACAGCAACAGCCAGCTTTACACCTCACTGTTATCATTCAGCAGATTTGGTGAGACAAGGTGGAATTCTTAAAAGGGGGAATTAGAAAAAAGAGAGTTTTCCCATGTTAAAAAAAAAAAAAATGGGAAACATTATAATGATGAGGCAGTTTGGTCTCATATCATATGATTCCACAATGGATGGTTTAAAAATGGAGCAATTAAATGAGGGGATAATTAACTTAGCTGTGATTTACATAAAGTCAGTTATAAACATTATCAGTTTGGCAATTCTTGTTTTATCCTTTAAAAAGTTGGCTGATACAGAATGGCTAAAATTAGAAACACCAATGACAACTTATGCTGGAGAGGATGTGGACAAAGGGGAACACTCCTCCACTGCTGGTGGGAGTGCAAACTTGTACAGCCATTTTGGAGATCAGTATGGCAGTTCCTCAGGAAAATGGGAATTAGTTTACCACAGGACCTGGCAATCCCCCTCTTAGGCATATACCCAAATGATCCACATCCATGCAACAAAGACATGTACTCAACTATGTTCATAGCAGCATTATTTGTAATAGCAAGAACCTGGAAGCAACCTAGATGCCTCTCAACTGAAGAATGGATAAAGAAGACGTGGCACATCTACACAATGGAATACTACTCTGCAGAAAAAAATAATGGAATCTTGAAATTCGCAGGCAAGTGGATGGCACTTGAAGAAACCATCCTGAATGAGGTAACCCAGTCACAAAAAGAAGAACATGGTATGTACTCGCTCATATATGGATTTTAGAGCTAGAGCAAAGGATCACCAGCCTATAATACACACAACCAGAGGAACTAGGATACAAGGTGTATGCTAAGAGATTCATATAAAGTCCCTCACAGAAGGTTGAAGGGACAAGACCTCCCCCCCCAGCACAGGGGAAGTGGGGGGGGGCAGTGAATGGAGAGAGAAGTAGGAGAAAGAGAGGGGGAGGAGAGGAAAGCACGTGCAACTAGGAAGATTGAGTCAGGGTTGGAATAGAAGACAGAAGAGAGAGTGAGAGTGAATAAGAGAGAGACATAGAGAGAGAGAGAGAGAGAGAGAGAGAGAGAGAACATAAAAGAGGGAGCCATTACTGGTTTGAAGAGAAAACTGAACCTAAAGAAAGGTCTACAGACCTACAAGACTGCTGCCAACTAACAATTTGAGCAACTGTGGAAAGGCTACCATGAATGCCCTTCCCAGATAGTGAGATCAGCAACTAACTTATCCACCATCATGGAGCCCTCATCTAGTTCCTGTTGGAAACAGAAGCAAACACTCATACCTAAACATGAGTCTAACTAGAATCCAGATGCAGAGGGAGAGGACAAGACCAGGTTGCAGAAACACATTGACAACTGACCTGAACAAGGAGGAGCTAACGGGCCCCCAGACTGATAGCTGGGAATCCAGCATGGGACTGACTCAGGCCCCCCTGAATATGGGGTCAGAGGACTGAGCAGTCTAAGGGACCTCAGACAGTGGAGCCAGGATGTATCCCTGGTGCACAAAAGGACTTTGTGGACACATCCCCCATGGAGGGATAACTGCCTTAACCTAGAGACAGGAGAAAAGTCCTAGTCCCTACTTCACATGACCTGTCAGATCTATATGACCCCACCTGGATGGCATTGCCCTACAAGTGGAATTGGGGTGGGGGATGGGGGGAGGGTGGTCAGGGTGCATGTGAGGGGGCAGAGAGGGCAAGAAGGAGGGAGAGAGGGAGAGGGAACTGGGATCAACATGTAAAATAAAAAAAAATAAGTTAATTAATTAAAAAAAAGTTGGCTGATGAGAGTGCCAAGATACAGGCCTTAGAAAAGGTTACTAAAGAAAATAATGCAATTTTGACTCATAAGTTACAAGCCCTAGAAAAACTTACTAAAACAGATGATATAGTCAGGCAAAGACAAAGGAGAAGCAACCCACCATTGCATTATAAAATTAGAGAGGAATTGTCCAAGGTTATCAAAAAACCAACCTTAATTTATCCAGTCACCATACAGGAATGACTGCCAAACGGCAGGTATCCCTAAGGCTATGAAAGACTTCACTGGATTCCTGTGGAAATGTTAGATTTGAGGAGATTTAAAGAAGCAATAGTCTCATATGGTATGCATTCACTTTTGTGAGGCTAATTCATGGTCAACTAGTAACAGAATTGTCCCACAAGACTGGAAAGACTTGGTTACAGCAGTATTGGAGCCTGGTCCTCAATTACAGTGGAAGGCCTGGTAGAAAGATGAGGCTAAGATCACTGAACAACAAAGTAGGGCTAGAGGTATTGAAGTTTCCCAAGACCAACTTCTGGGAGAGGGTGATTATGCTGATGCACAAAGACAGTCTATATATAATGACTACACCTTGGCTCTATGCCGTGCAGCAGCTTTGACTGCTTTG